CTGCAACTATATTATTTTTACTTCCAACGACCAAATGAATTAAATTCAAAAATCTCCAGCAGTGTAAAAAGATGCTTGGAATAATTTTTCTTCACTTATAATGCAACTCATATAATGCTTGTAATTTCAACCGTGACTGTCCTCAGGAATTGAATTGATGTCGTCGCAATGTGATCGAGGAAAGACAAGAATTGGTAAGATAAGAAAATAAGAATTTGTAGGAATCTGAGAAAAGCATTTCTATAACCAGTCACGCGTCTTAGGATGCTTGAAGACATTTACTGAAGGAACAAGAAGCGTTGGTGTGTTCCGCCGGAAGGGAATACCCTCCTGGTAACGGACTGAAACGAACCAAAACGGATGGTTATTTGCGATTTATGCTGTGCACGTTCTCCCTTTCGTTTACTCGCGCCTTCGTGTCTGTTTCCTTCCGTATGTGACTTTGCAGGGGTAAACGGAAGCAAAGACTTGCTTCCGAGAGGACAGTGTTGCAATAAGATGATAGACGTTATTGCTTATCTGTGTATATGTGAAGTGATAAATTTTGATTCGATACGTTGACGTTGTTTCCTTCCGTTGGCTCGTTTTTGTTGTTGCAGTTTTTCTCGTTTTTCTATTTATTCTAGAGTTTTATCATCACACCAGGGATTTATGTTCATCATTGGAGATAAAAATATACGTGTATCGAAACTTATGTTGATAAAACTACGTAGAATAAATATATCTAGTAATTATTCAGAATTTCCGGTAAAGTCACAAATATGTATATGACATGAAGTAGAAGCCACGTTAAAATTAAAACGAGGTCATCGAGTCGTGATACATGAGTGTGGTTAAATTGAGAGGGAAATTGGAATAATCGCGAGTCACATTGTGTATTCAGTTATTCTGCTATAAATGTGCTAATATTTTAATCCACATACCTGCTATTAAATCGACAATAAATTATAGTTTTTCATAAGAAGTGAATTATAAACAATGAAGACATTTTCAAACTATTTCAAACATGTTTTCATACCACAAGATCTCCATTAAGAATGTTTTTCTTGAAACTTGATAACCTTTTAACAAATTTTAATTATTAAATGCGATTGTTTTTATGGTTGTATTGTTTATAAGTGTAGTGAATTGGAGGAATGGAAAATAGAAAGTCATCTTATTTGTTTTATTTTTTTTTTTTATTTAAATCAATAGAACTATTGGAAAATGTAATTGAATTGAAAAAACAATAATTGCATCTACGAAATCAGTATTGGTACTCGTGAAAGATACTTGTGAAACGCTCTACAATGATTTGTTCATTCTTTAGAATGAGTCAGAGTTTGATTTTACAATAAAAAAACTCGACTTGAAAGACCATTGATGAAAAAAATTAGAAACAAAATTCAATCGATACTTGTTGGAAGTTATTAAAAAGAAAAAAAAAACAATCACCCGTTATTATTTTTTTTTATATTAATATTTTCTAATATATTTCACTTAATAAGTTAATTTATTTTTCTATTATTTACAACAGTAACATTGATGTTAAACAAATTGTTTCATGTTTTAATAACTTAGAAGCTTCATTTATCAGCTTCAAACACATTAAACTAAAAACAAGTTTTCACGACGTTTTTTCTTACTTTGCAGTGGTACTTACTTATACTGAATTGAAGATAAGATTTATTTAGGTACTAAATATTATTGACATCAAATAGATTTGGCTCGAGCAAATAAATTATTTTCTCATCATACTTTGAAGCAAAAACTGATATTAATCAAACTACCATGAAAACATGCTGGGTCTAGTGATAATTTCCATGCTGAATGAAACTGTGCACACTGAGAGAAAGTTTTAGTTTCTAACAAACCAAAAATAAAAAATAAAAAAAAATACATCCTAGTTTTTTGGAGTTTCATCAACTATTTTAATGAGTTGGTCAATAATTATCTTACTTAAGGGCAGATAATTAAATTTGTTGTACCAACAACTCTTTTTCTTTTTTAGCAGATTAATTTTAATAATAAATGTCACTCACAGATAATTAAATTCACTCATTAGAAATAATATATAAATCCAAGTAAAAAATGGTGTGTTCAGGTCATGATAATTTTTTAGCTGCAATAATCAAAGACATTCTTCCAAGTTTGGTGTAATTGACTTTATCCTAGATCTCTATCAAAACCACTCTGCAATTTTTTAACCGTTTATGTCCAAAAAAAACTGCTAATAATATAAGTTTCAAGTGACGAAATAGTCCATTAGATGTGTGGTTCACCACTGCTGGTGCAGAGCTGGATGATTTAGGAAACTTGCCGAAGAGAAGCGATAAGATTTCTGTGCTTTGAAACATTCTTTCTCTCGGTCTCTTGGTTACCTAACTTACTTCTGAACCCAAGAGTTTTTTTTTCATCCAGCTGATGCGACAGCATGGCTTTCAAGAGCGTCCAATTTATCTCAAGTACCTTAGGAAAAAAAGGAAAAAAGGTCGTTGCTATTCTGGCTAAGACGATGAACGAGGTTGTCATCAAAGAAAAGAAAAGACTTTTGGTTGTTCGTGGGCGCGAGCTTTCTGCATTGTTTTGTACAGCTGAACAAATTTATGATGCGCGAGTTCTTGGCCAAAAGTTTTTTACAAGTTAAACCACGAGGACTAGCAAAACTCTGATTTGCTGCGTGCAGGGTAGTAAAGTTTTCAAATTAATGATAATTAGACAGAAAGTTAAAGAGTTTCCCACGAGATAACAAATAAACTCCTCATTTGTTCATTTACTTTTCTTACGCTCACTATTTTGTACCTGAATTACAACATGTGTAGAGAATAAAACCAAAACAATTCTTCTCATGGACATTAATTACATTTTCTCTATCGTTAATATTGTTTGATAAACAGTAGGCTTTTCATTATTCTCACTGAAACTTGATTCATTTAATTACAGTTGAAATTATTAATCAGAATTCTGTTAGTTTAAATTATAATTGTTCTATTTAATATCAATTATTCTACTGGTATTGTGAACAATGAATACCATACCACTTTGTTAGCTAAATCATCAATTAGAGTAATTAGCACTTGCAATTATTTTTCTCTAAATAACAGAATAAAACTGAATGCTCAATAATTTATTGAGATTTAAAATATTTTATTAAAGTAAAACTATTCAAAAAAGTATTGTATTTTTAGATTCAATATTTCAAAAGTAATAAATTTTTAGACTACTGTATACGTTTTGTTCAATCATCCATGAAAAATTTTGTGTCACTTCAGTTTTTATTTTCGTCAGTTTTGGCTTCAACTGATTGAAATATCTACATGTTTGTACTCTAGTATAAATCAGTGCATAAAAACTATTGAATATTTTATTTATGGCTTACAATTATATTTATTTGACACATTATATGAAAATATTTATAAACCTCGAAAAATGTAGTTAATCCTCAAGATGTATTTTTATTTAATGATACCAAGTTCGCTATTACATACACAATAGAATCTATTTGAATTTAATTAACTGTGATGTATCGTTTAAACAAATAAAAATAAACGACAAGACTGCTTTTACATTACTATGGACAACATTTAATTAAGATCGATAGAATTTCAGTTAATTACTAGTATGTATCAAATGATTTACTAGAAATTTTCAATTCATTGCTAAACAGTTCATTATTTATTAACAAATATTTTTATGTTGATAGGCAATGATTGAGCTACAAAATAATCATTAGAGAAATTAAATTTAATTTAGGTCACAACAATATGACCATAATAATTTTGAAATGAAAGATAAGTCTAATTAATATCAGCATTGTTTTGGTTACAGCAAATTTAATAATTCAACAAATTTTAATTTAAAAGATACATAGAGCATCCATGATATATTAAGTAATTTTTAAACTTGAATGACATAAATTATGAATAATTGTCACCTCTTTACCCTAGAGGAATATCAATTACTGAACATCAGATTACGTTTGTGATAATGAAATAATTTTTTTAAAGAGTATATTTGTATATGGGAGGTATCTTAGTGTATTATTTAATCAATCAAAGTCTCCCTTAATAATTTTCAACATAATAAAATCAATTCCCCACATCACAGTGATAATATCATAATTTAATTTGTGGACAAGTTTTTATACAAGAGTTGGGGTGATCAGAATGAGATTATCAAAGATGATTTGATTTAAAAGTTAAATATATTTAGAAATACGATGTATATGATAGTCTTGTTTGATCAAATGTAATTTAAGTATGCAATGTACTTGAGATGAATTTATTAGAGATAAATGTTACAAGACAAAATGAATTAGAGAATTAAATGTACCTGGGATTAATTTACTGAAGATGAGTATTAGAGAATGAAATTGCCAAGGACGAACTGACATGGAATCTAATTTAATAACAAAAAAAATTCATCATAAATGACGAGGTAATTTTCTCTCCTTCTCTTGGATGCGTACAGCTTTTATTCATTGAATAGAAGAAGAAAAAAAAAACATCAATTTATCTACGCAGTTCATCTGCTATTCTTCGATGAGAGAGTTTTATCTTCACCATTGGTGAGCACCAAATACACTTCTTTTCAACAAGGCAGAAAAGGCAAACTTGATCCGGCTCATCCTCTTCCCAATACTTCTTTATCCTTTTTCATGCTCCTGAAATAAGCTGCCAATAAAATCGTACAGTTTGCGTTTGTATTCTCTATTCTATCTAGAATCGACTCGTCGACATGTTCAACTATACGTCCGAGGCTGAAATACAAATTCTATATTCATTGGTCTTCTAGTTTCCTTCCGTTCTTGAGTTTTATGGCCAATCTCCCCGGTGTAATCTTAGTTCTACGGCCATCTTAAACTGACTTATGAGATAAAACAAGAAGAAAAATAAATGAAATACATGACTTGTGAATGCGTGAATCGACAGAAACTTCTATCACATAGTTTTTCACATAAGATTCTTGACATCTGTTGTCGACTTTTTAGTCTAAAACTTTTTTCCCTGCTTTTGTTTCAGAATGGCTCTTATGAGGGTGCAGGAGAGAGTGATGGCCTTGGTCTGTGTCCCTACGATCCACAGCACAACAGCACAGCAGTTTTTGCTGGTAAGTTTCACTAGGATAAGTATGAATTGAGAAAGAAATAAATACTAAATTTAAATATATAAGAAATATATCAGAAAATTCATACCATACTTTTTTACGAGAGATCATCATGGTTGACCTAGAACAGTGAAGACGTTAGTGTGAAAACTGGGATCTAATGTTCTTGGAATATATGTTACATGGGTGAGGAATAGCTCAGGATCTATGTATTTTGTTCAACCGTGTATTACGTATCTTCACGCTTCAGCATTTGCCTCAAGCTCGCTCGGTAGATTTGTAGCTACCAACGTGCATCTATTCTTGTTCCGTGTTCAACTTTCTTCTTACTACTACTCTTTTTTAATATCTTTTCTTCAAGATGAATATTAGGAAATTGAGTTAAATTATTTAATCATATACTTACTTCACTAATAACTATCATCAGAATAGTCGTAATCATTTTAATAACATTAATAAATCATGATATGTACATTTACCATAAAGACTCTGTTAACTATTTTTTAAATTTATGCTATTCATTAAATATAATAGTCATTTGAGACTTAAGTAGTTTTTCTTTTAAAAAAAGTTAACTGGATGTTATTGACAGTCGACAAACTTTTGAACTTTGTACTGGATTTTTTGAAAGCATTAATTTCCTAATGACTTTCAAACAAGAAATGATTCATTTATATGTTAATATTCAAGTATAGAACAATGATAGCATGACTATCTGGTTATTGACATCCTAATTTTCATTATCGACATGCTGTCCCATTCGTTTGCAGAATATTTACATTTATGGTTTATACATATATTAATATTCTCATAAATAGGAAGGCTTTAAAATTAGGTTGAGTTACTTTATGAGATCTACTACATTGATCCAGGACAAATGAAATTAAATAATTGTTATCTCTAAAAGGGGACATGTGGAATGATTGATTTAATTTCGTATTTTTAGATGAAAATGCAATGAATAAAATTAAGGAATAAAATTTAATTATTAACAAATTAAAAGAACAAGTCTAGCAAATTACATCATGGTTAAAGATTAATTATGTCAATTGTTTAATTTTTATTTTAAAAAATGTGATGTATTATATTTCATTTTTACAAAATTTTATTGGAAATTTAAAAATAAACATCAATTAAAAATAATGAAATAGTATTTGCTTATGAACACAGACTAATCAGCATCATGAATAACTGTCATTTTCAATTACAGGTGGACAGTTGTATGCTGCTACAGTGGCAGATTTTTCAGGAGGTGAACCACTGATTCACCGAGAAAGAATCAGAACTGAGCGATCAGATCTCAATCAATTAAACGGTAAATGTGAATTTATTTATAAAAAAAAAAATATCGGTCAATTTGCTTGATCAAAAGTAAATGATTGAGCTAAAATGGGTTAACAGGAAGCTCTTAATTCTTGTAAAATGACATTAAATAATTTCCACTAACTATGGACATTATTATTTCAGGTCCAAACTTTGTAAGCTCGTTTGCCTATGGAGATTACGTTTTCTTCTTTTATCGAGAAACAGCAGTTGAATATATGAACTGTGGAAAGGTAGGTCATCTAAAATTGTTGAATAAAACAGATCAATCAATAATCGTAGATATTGAATACTTTTATCAGGTAAAACAATAGTCCATTACACTTGAATGAATTTTCAGTCATTGGAGATATATATTTTTGGCATATTTCAAATTTATTTTATATCTGATCAATATTTTTTTTTTCTTCTTTCACGTATCAGTTAAATTATTTACATGCTTTTAATTTATCATCAACTATATAGTAAACTTATAGTTATCAAATTTTGTTGAGTATAATTATTTTATTGTTTTGTTTTATTTCAACAGATTGAAAAAATATTTTGTAGATAAAATAAGTCTTTTTACATTGATATTGGAAAACTGTGTTTTTTTTTTTTATTAAATTTAATAAAAAAAAAAATATACATAAAGTTTATATACCAATTTTATCGATATATGATCAATGTTTTGTCTTCAATTACCTAACAAAACTGTTTTTTAAAGCAATTTGGTTGAAAATCATTTTTTTTACTCAATATCCAAAAATATATTTCAAATAATAGTTTAAATATTCATTGAAAAAAAAAGAAAATTATCCATAACTATTCAATGTCGTAGAATCAATGAAAATTCATAACTTATTAAACATGCATTGACTAAATGATTATCGATAATCAATAATTAATTCAAAATAATTAAAATGAATTGATAAGCAGCAAATGAAAATAAGTAAAAGCGAATTGATTTTTTAAAGTTGAAGATGATAAAAAGTAAAATGAAACAAAAAACTTTTAGTACAATTAACTACTTTTCAATTAAATCATTCTTATCCATTAAAATCCATTATCAGGTTGATTGCTGATTCATTTTAATTTAGGTAAGAAGATTGAACATTGTAGTCTATATTTTATAGACTAATCATCAAACATTCATCCATCTCACAAGAATGAGAATGTACTATCAGTAACATTTTATTCAAGATAATCGAAAATCCGATAGAAATATTTTATATAGACTGTTTAGTATAAAAAAGTGTTGTAAATTAAACTAAAAAATTTCATTACTGGTTGATAAAAATTTTTGGCTCGCTATGTATCCCATTTTGATGATTATATAGAACATTTCCGTTTTCAGGCCGTTTATTCACGAGTAGCTAGAGTGTGCCAACACGATAAAGGTGGTCCGCATGCCTTTAACGACAGATGGACGAGCTTCCTCAAAGCACGTCTCAATTGTTCTATTCCTGGCGAATATCCTTTCTACTTCAATGAAATACGTAAGTAATACCTTTACAATAAAATATCATCTAATATCTCAAATTCATCTATTGATGATAATAAGTTAAATAAAAAATATATTATAGAATTATTTCATCTACTTTAGCAATAACATTTATTTGATTACATCAAAGATCTTTTGTTCAGGTCAGTTAACAGACGAAGACAAAATTTGTAGTAATGGGAACAAAACAAATTCTATATTTCGATCAAATTCTCTTTCGTCTTTGTATAAATCGTATTTGAGAGTTGCACAGGACGGCGTAGCAGTTTCCTGACTGGGTTCAAGTCGTGCCTGGTTGGTTGGCTCATAAAAAACGTGGCTGTGCTATCCGAAGCGTACATGGAATCGAAATCCACGATATCTAGTGGCTGGCCAAGAGCCAGATGCGGGTGAATTCTGCCAGAGAACTCGACGTACTCGTATAGATGTTACAGTTACTCGTGCATTATATTTACAATAAGATGAAACTGTCGAATTTTTTTCCAACTAGTTGACTGATTGGACAGACCGGAAATTTCTCATCGCAATAATTTGTTTCTATATCTTTTTTTATGATTTCTACTTTGGAAGAAACTTTTTGACTAAATAATTTTTAGAGTTTTTAATTTTAAAAATAAAATCTATAGTGATTTTTTTATTTACTTTATTTTTTATAAAAATGTTTAATATAAATTATTGAAGGATTCGATTATAAAATGATGTAACGAAAAATTTTGACGTCTATTCAGTTTTTTTATCAATTTATACAGACTTTTGCCATGAAAATTAAATCGCCTTGTAAATTGAATTGCAATATTTTGTGAAATTGTCATAGAAAGTTTTGATAAAAACGTAAACTAAACCAAGCTCTAAAAAAACAACTCTAATAACATTTTTTTTATGAAATCGCTGGGATTTTTTTTCAGAAAGTTAATATTAATTAATTGTCATTCATTGAAACGTGTAATTGCTGTTGTATAGCATCACAAGACTCAATTATTATTGTAATTTTATAAAATTTCGTAATAAAAAATGGCAATAAAAATTTCCGAATTAAGTATTGCTAAGATAATAATTTATTGATTGTTAAAACAACAATAAAATGTAAAAATATCATTGCTATTCAAACGAATTAAATTTTTATTGATGATCATACTCACATATTGCTCGGAAATTTCCCAAGACATTGATAAAGATATTTTTAATCCCTTGAATGTAAATTTTTTATGAGTATTTAACGATACTTCCCAAGTATATCTTTCTCTGCATGTGGAAAGGATATTTCTGATGTTCTTGAGCAATGAATCTAAATTCATAGTGAGCTATAAAAAAAAATTGTTGTTAACGGATGTTTTATAATTGTTCGACAATTTACCCGGAAAATAATGTCCTAGTCAATATTTCATCGTCGAGTATGCTTTTGATACGTTTTATTGATGTTTTCAATTACACAAAAATTTTTAAAACCCGATAAAAATAGATTTAAAAAATCTTTTTTAATCTCTTTTGATAATGGGTATTGATGGTTATTTTTTTTTCATTATTTAATGAACGTCTATTAGAAATCTATAGAGCTTTCAGAATAACAATAAAGTTCCCACGAAAAGATTTCATAAAAATTTGAATACCATTTAATATAATGATAATTAGTTTAAAATGATCCATGAATTTTTAAATCTTGTGCAACATTAAAATCTTAATTGAGTAACGAGCCTTTTGTACTATTGACAGAGTTAAGAAAACGAAGTGAGAAAAAATTTATGATTACTCAACAATCCTTCTGAAATGAAAATTACATAGTAAATAGATTTTCCCATGAATACAGTTCCAAGATTCTTAATTAATGGATTTGATTGAATGAAATCATTTTGGATATGATTCGAAAAGTAATCCTTTTAGAACAACCAAGTAATTAAGAGTTAGTAATTAGAGTTAATATTATGAGTATTATTAAAGCTCCAACTATGATATGTATATCATCAGTAGTTAATCACACTGCTCTTTTATATGATCTGTCTTTCGTGCAAACTTGTTACTGAAAATTCAGAAACTTTTTGACTCGTAGCATCAAAGTGTCAAGTTGCTGTGAAAAATACGCGATTCAGAAGAGCCAAATCTGATTCAGTGTGAAAAGTTAGAAGTGTAAGGGGTGTAAGAATTTGCTTCTTTTTCACTTTTCGTTGTTCTTCCTTTCTTTCTCTACTTGCCGCATGGTTGACGTTCAACCAAGTGCCACTTGAATATTGGAAATTGTAGAAAAGTTTTCAACCCCGTGAAAATATCTTCGTTGTAAAGCTAAGTGCAAGCACCTACCATGTGAAATGGAGCAGAAGAGTTAGATTTCCAAACTTTCATACAGACAAATCGATCATTTGTGACTTGCTAAACTATTTGAATTCGTGATAATAGAAAAAGAAATAACAATAATTCAACTTTATGCTCGATATTATAAAGTTCCTCTGTTCATTCTTCAAAAACAAACGTTTGCAGTCCTAATCAAAAGCTCGTAATCTTTTTATTTAAAATTCAATTGAACTAGAAATTTCTTATAAATGCTGATAGATCTCAGCCTTAGCGTATCGGTTAGCACAGTCAGCAAATAATTTTAGTCTTAATTTTATTTCTAGAATTGTGAAATACGGCTTTTTCTCACTCAGTTATTTTATAACGAAATAAAACTCTTTTATTCACTTCCAATGCTCATAACTTTTGAACAATCATCGTAAAAACTTCATACATACCTTCAGAATCCACCCCAAAGTCTGATCTTCTCAACGTATTCATCGTTTTTTGAATTCAATATTTCTCACTTTTTCTCCATATAACTAAACTAGAATAAAGCCATCAATAATTTTATTTATGATCTCATTTTTAATCCAACTTAACAAATAAAGCTCCTGCAATCAAAATCATAAAACAACTTGATAAATTGGGCCACTTTTAAACTTAATACTTTTTTTTTCTAGAATCAATGAGTGATGTAATAGAAGGTGTCTATGATGGGCGTCATAATCAGCTGATTTATGGAGTCTTCACCACACCAGTGAACTCCATTGGTGGGTCGGCCGTATGTGCCTTCTCAATGAAAAGCGTCCTCGACGTCTTCCAAGGTGCTTTCAAGGAGCAAGAAACAATTAATAGCAACTGGCTGCGCGTGCTTCCAGAGAAGGTGCCAGAACCACGTCCAGGTGCTTGCGTCAATGACTCGCGAACACTTCCAGACATAACAGTTAATTTTGTTAAACTTCACCCGCTAATGGATGAGGCTGTTCAGTCCTTCTTCGCTCTACCCGTCCTTACCAAAGTCAGCTTCAACTACAGGTTCACACGGGTGGCTGTCGATCCTCAAGTTAAAGCTCTTGATGGAAGAACTTATGACATACTTTACATTGGAACTGGTAAGTCATCAACATCTTCAACTCTTGTTAACAGATGTAGTTTTCTCCCTCTAGAATTCAATTTTAGAGAACTTGTACTGTGTGTAGTTATTCACTGCACAGTCGAATAGATTTTGATTTCAGACTTATCTTTCATTACAAATAAATTAAAGAACAAAACCATGAACGAATAATTAAATTATAAAATTTTACAGCTTTTTTTTTTGTTAGTAATAATAATGAATAATTTCAATTAAATTAGAGATAAAACAAAATTAGAAGTAATTAGTACGGCTTTATTGAATAAACACAACTCTTTGAATAACTAGCACAAATCTCTTGATTGCTAAAAAATAATTCTCATTCATTGAATCTATAACTAATTATATACGTTACAATTGCAGATGACGGAAGAGTCATTAAAGCTCCCAACATAAAAACTCCCAACTCAACGACAGAAGTGGGACAAGTGATCGTGAGTGACGTGCAAGTGCTACGATATGGTAAATTATATTATATCAGTTACATACATTTGTATATTCAACATCCTGATGTATCTCAAAATACGTCAGGTCTCACGACACAAGATTTTCGCATTTCAATTGTCATCATCATGTATTTGCAGGTCAAGCTGTCAAGGACCTTCAAGTAGTTCATCTCGCTGGTGAAGCGAGCAAATTAGTCGTTATCGCTGACTCGGAGATACGAGCTATACCACTTCACCATTGCGACAGTCTCGCTGTACACTCCTGCGTCGCTTGCGTCGCTCTTCAGGATCCGCATTGCGCCTGGGATGCTACGATGGATTTGTGCGTTGCTGTGCCAACTAAGTTACATGACAATGATGCCAGTAAAACACTATTCCAGGATATTATCACCGGGAAACACAAGGGATGTAGTTATGAGCAAGGTAGATATTTCTCACAAGCCTCTATGGATTCCTCTGTAAATCGCCAGCCTCCCAGCACCATCCACAGCTAATAACACTGCCTCTACAAACTTTTATAACTATCCATTAGTTTATTTTTCTTTCATTTCTACTTTATCTTTATCTAGCTTTTTCTTATCATTTTCTTTATTTTTCTTCATTTTTTTATACCACATCTTTTTATTTACTTTAACTCTTCAACATCTGTCATTTAAAAACGTTGACATTTATTCTAAACTTTCTAGATGTTTTTTCTTATACTTATCAATCACTTTCTCCTCCATTTTTCGTTATACTTGGAACTTATTAGCCATTATGTAAGGAGTTATTAATACTTATTATAAGTTCAATGATTGATTAAAAATTCTGTGTTAACTTTTAAAAAGTCTCGCGAATAAATTATCTCCAAGACTTTTGCAAGTGTTATTTGTTTCAAATTACCATAATTCTAATCTTTGTATATAACAAAGTCATTTACCGTTATTGGATAACTTCATTTCCTTATACCTTCACCAAATCTACCATATAAAAATAAATAATATTATTAACTTTATTGTAGAGTACATCAATGGATTTTTACCACTGAAAAAGATCAATCAAGTGAATAAAAAAAACAATTGACCATTCAAAAGATCAGACCTTTAACAGATTGACCTTTCAAAAGGTTTTACGATCATTAATTTTTTTTTCCAACAAATCAATAAGAAAACTCATAAATTTTTTCACTCCATCAGTCAATACTTGTCAATCACTTTTTCTTTGCTTTTTTCATTACAAATCATGAAAATATGAAAGTATATGATTATATAAATTGTTTCTAACACTTGTTAAAGTCATTGTTGATAAGCAATATAGGAAGCTGTTGAAAAATAGTTTTGTGTTAAACTTATATCAGTTAAGCACGTAATCTTTAACTATCATATCCATCATCCTATGTATGATCATCTGTCCTCTTAATTAGTGAATGTCGCCTTGGACTTGAAGCCCGTGCCTCCAGCGGTGCCCTCTCGAATCGGGAATGGTGAACAACCCGATGAACGGGAAAATGAAATCGTCATCACCTTGGATCAGGGAAATCAATACAGTCGCACGCAACCAAGAGCTAATGAACCTCAAGGTAATGCCACGAATAAAAGCAAAACGAAACCTTTCCTTACAATAAATTGACTGCCCTTTAAATTCTTTCACTTTTTTTTATCATATCACTTTCCTGAAATGTTTTTCAATAACTAACACAAATCTTTGCCAAGTGGACAATGGTAATTAAAGAGCAGTCAATTTATCATCTCCCTTGTCAGCTTTGTCGTAATCTATTTCATTTGGTGTAATAGCGCTATAATGAATGTAATTTGTCGACTCATGATCATTGACATCAACACAACGCGGTGAAAGTTTTTCATTGATCAACGACTTCTTATTACTACTAACATGAGCATTTATTTGATTGAATTTAAACGTCTATTAAGGCTGAAAAAAAAAACGAGCATGATTACCTGGGGTGCTAGCGATTGATGATAAGACATTATTTATGTAAATAATCGATTGGCTTTGTTATAGGTGTGATAGTAACTCCAGTGGTATATTCAGCGCAGACATTAACTGGAGCGTTGATTGGAACTTGCCTCTTTTCTTTGATTGCTGGTTTTGCGTCCGGGTTCTGGTTTTCCCAAAGGCTTCGAGGTGCACCTTATCCGGATCCACCAGAGCAACGTCAGCAACTAAATCGTCTGACAGAGAGTTCAGAATCCCCAGCGGGCTTCAATAACAAGTCCATAAATCTCGTGCTTAATGTACCTCCAAAAAACCCAAACGGCAAAAATGCCAACTCTTCAGCTGAGAACAAACCTATGCAAAAGGTCAAGAAGACGTATATATGATACAGAAGACGGAGAGCCGTTTGAGGTTTACCTCCACGCGGCGGAACCGTGGCTTCAAGTTCTTCCGAGGCTACAGAATCCGAGAATTCATACAATGATAATTATGATAAACCACCAAGTTCGATAATAAGAAGAAATTCCTTACCAGCAGCTTCCACTGTGTCATGTAGCAGTTCAGAGATCGATTTACAACATGTTCCTCAAACTTATGATCCTCCTAGATATGATTTAGTCGTTAATCCTGAACTCCTAAACGAGCGGAGAAATGACGAAACGATATCATGTTCGAAAATTTACTATGATCAACGTTCTGACACTGCTACGAGATCTACCAGAGCCTCAATCCCTGTTCCACGTTCAGTTCCACGCGTCAACTCAAAATTCGCCGAATCATTGGACCACTTGGATGTCAATCGTCGACGTACTCGTGGTAAACCCGAGTTTGACGCGTCACATGAACATTACATGGTTCCAACGCATGAGCCCAATCGGCCAAGTGACAATCGCACATTGTCATTATTTAATCCAGAATTTTTACCAAATTTTAACGACATGCTTATGTATGTGAGACCTGATGCCGATCTCAATGTCTCCTTTCCCACTTGGAATTCCAATGACTTTTCTTATGGTGAAAATAATACTTCCATTACGAGGGAAAGCCTCAATAGCGATGCTAGTGTTGATTCTCGTTTCATTGGGACATCCAGTTCTACTAGAGATGCTAGCTATACCAGTTTAAATATCCAGGATCGTTTGAATCACGTGACTGGAGTATTGGAAAAGGAGAATATATATGCTGCTGTCGCGCGACAAGAAGCTAAACGAGGGTGCAACACAATCGAGTACAATTGTTGAGTTATGAGCGTGGTAAGTTAAGCTTTATCGTCCCCTGCGTAATACGAGTGGGTTGTGTGCGTCGTCAAAAGCCATTAAATGTGCAAGCGAAAGTTATATTCAAGAATACGAGTATGGAAAGGAGAAATGATTGAATGGGACATATTATTATTGAATATATATGATGGATAATTATTGTTAAATGTGATACGAAAGGTGAACTGTGTTCTTAGTAGTGGCCTGTTAGGTAATTAGATGAAGCAGAGTAAAAAAGAAATTTTTAAATTAAATTTAAAAATGTATCGTTGCATATATAACATAAAAAATAATACACAGTGAAAAATTTGTGAATAATGTGTTAAAAACAGCTTTATTCAATATTTTCTTTGATTATAAATTAAAGAGAATTATTTTTCTTCAAGAAATTTTATTGATTTATATAACTTTGTGTAAACTAGAACATTTTTTATGCTTAAGATTTGAAATTGGATAATTGTGCAGTATATGTATTACTTTAAGGCTTTAATACAAGTAAACTAATTGTTAAGAAAACTTTTCTAGGTGCTTCTCAGAAATGTTCAGACCATTGTGTTAGATTTTTATCTACAAAATTGATACAAAAATGGAATTAAAAGTAATTCTATTGATACTTTTCTTTTATATTTAATTGTATAATAATGTATAAAATTGTGATAGAATTTAAGAAACAATGAGTTTATCTGAAAGATCTAGTTTTCAGTAAATTAATGAGGTACTTATTTCTAATTTTCACGAGAATAAATTTATCTGAATGAAAATCTTTGACCTATAAAAGATTTTTCACTCTTCAGACATCAATCATTCACATAGATTCATTGTTTTTTTTATTCATAATTAAATTATTTATTTTAGAACAAAAAATTATTTTATTAAAAAGAAACAGTTGATATTTGAAAAATGACATTCAACTTGAAATGGTCACGATGATATTTTGTTTGCGAATCAGGATTTTTATAAACATTGTAAAAAAATTTAAGTGTTAATTTTGAACATAAAAGTAAACGACTGTTTTTAACATAAAAACAAGTATTAAATGAACACAAATTTTTTTACTGTGTACTCAGCAGATGAGGCGTGCCTTCCATGTATTTTTGTTGGCATTTAGCTAGAGAGAGTAAAGAAAATGTTAGAGGACGTGAAGAAACTGTGAAGATGCTTTTAAGGATAGCTCGAAATGATGACGTGAGGTGTAAGTAAGCAGCTGGCGCAAGTTCAATATCGACTATAATGAGATAGTAGATCGAAAGTAAAGCGGAGTTAGTTGAATGTGGATATTAGTAGTATATAGTTGAGTATACATATAAGTTATATTGATGGGATTAATGGAAATTGGTTTCGATCGACCGACGACGACTCTCGTACCCGATGGCTCACTTGGCGCGCAGGCTGGACTGCCAACCAGGTGGAAACGACTTTATATGTAAATATATATTTTAAATTAATCTCGTCTTCAAAAATAATCTCGGCGGGCATCGATAATTGATATTTAACATATGTACATATTTATCCCGTCGAGAATAATCGATAGGTGAGTGTGGGTAGGCATGCGTAAATACTTTTTGTACATCGCTTAACAAAATGCATTTAATTCCTACCCTATGCAGACTGTATGGAAATTATTATTATTATTATTAAAAAGTATTCTCTAAAGAAAACCCGAATGGCAGCTATTTTACAATTTCTACTGGATATATAAACAAATTTATTGCAAATTATTCGTCATGCTCTCTAGGTATCTAAAAGGAAATTTGGAATATTCATTCAATCCATTACTTAGCAATGGCACATCCCACACGATTATCCTTTTAGGTATCTTAAGTTTATTTGTCGAATTTTAGTAGTCTTATTATCCACTCAACATATTGGATTGCTGCACTAATTGTTATATATATATAGATATTTTTTGCACATTTGTTTGAATAATCAAATTAATATTCTTTGTAAGTAATTAATTTTAAAATTTATTTTTTAATACTCTGATTATATTTTAGTTATTAATTTAAATCAAATCATGTGTACTAATTTTAAAATAATAGTTTTAAATATAGGAAATTTTATAATTAATTTCGTACAAAAAATTGTTATAATTGTTTTAAATAAATATTTAAGTACAAATTGAAGAGACCTTTGGTTACAAAAAAATTTTTGTATTTTTTTTTTTATACACTTGTTTGAATAAATGAATTATTTTTACCGCTTTAATTAACGCTCTTTCATTGAAACAATTATTGCAATCCTCAAGTGAATTAAAAAATTGGATCCTAAATATTTGATTCAATAATAGTGTATGAAGAGTCAATTTTTAAATTAGTTGTATATAGTGAAATTGCTCTATTTTTAACAAATGTTCAAAGAATAGTCAGATACCCTTCATAGAAAAAATTATCAAAGATTTATTTTTGTATTATCATTTGGAAATTTTTGCATCAATCCAATATTACTTAGAATCTTAGATTAATTCATTAAATGAATTTTGGGGGCGTATTAAAAATCTTATACCTGCTGTACATGAATAAAAATGGAACAATTTAATAGGTAAAATTTTAAATACCCCAAAAATAATTACGTGTACAAATAATTAAAATATTTCAAAAAATAAAAAAAAAATTAAACTATCTAATACGATACGTACTAACAGAGCATTAATGAAATTGTAATTATAAAAAAAAAATATTAAAAAATGTCCCTCGATTATACAATTATCGAGAGATTTATTGATATTGGATTGAAATATTTTGTTATTTTTGGAATTTATGATTAAAAAAAAAATAATAATACATGATTATTGCCTCGATGGTTATTTGGAGTTTATCTGCTTGCAATTATAAACAATTGCTAGGCAGGCAAGAGAAAAAAAATCTTAAACAAATGATATTAAAATTTTTTCAACAGTGTAGTTGTATAAATAAATAATAAATATTAATAATAAAATAAAAATATTTTATTTACACAACATAGATTAGCAGAAACATTATCAGCCGTTTTTAATGATCCGTCGAAGGATAACTATTGTTTCAAATGCGTTATAAAAAATTATATAATCGCTACATTCCATTGAAAGCCAGGACTGCCAATAGATCGTATTTACGACAGTCTGTTCTTGTTGCGAAATTGACAAAATGTTAATATTATAGCTCGAAAAAATATTATATCTTCAAAAGTAATTACAATACGCGAAAAAACTGACTGACGTATTGCGATCATATACAAAAAATCATGAAATATTTTAGTGGCCTTTTTGTAGACGATTTGTCTGTGCTTATACAGATCTTGCGCGAAAGTGAGAATATGCATGAAAAACATTATTTAACAAATATTTAATATGATGATGATATTATTAATAATGAAAAACAATAAAAAAAAATAGACAATTGGACAATGATTAGTGGTTCTAATGTGTAACGATCATAATAGTTATTTATGAAAAATCGAACAATTTGTCAATTTATTCATCGAATAATGTATCTGTTTTATACTAAAAAATATTTGTTACAATACATTTAATGTTTCTTTCCCGATACCACAAAATATATATATAACACTGTGAAATATTAATGAAATGAAAATAAAATAAAATGTCGGTAGATAGATGAGATAGGGAAACAAGGCTCGATGGCAGTCCAGGCACACGAAATACGCTGTGCCAATAAAATATATTTTATGTAAATAGAGACGGCAATGAAACAATAGAGACGATCGTTGGGAGAAGAGTAATAAATAAATGAAAGAGAGACTATAGTAATGGTTAAAATTGTCTGAATGATATTGAATGTTCATACTGAAAGAACTAATCATACTGATATAAAACCCATCCAAATACCTTTTAAAATCGCTTGAAATATGACTCATCTCACTTTACAATTATCATTCTTTTTTGTATTAATTTTATAACACGAAAAATCAATGTAGATTATAAATTACATTTTTTAGCTAACTTTGCACAACAAAAAAATTTTATTAATAAAATCACAGTTTCAGCGATTTTTGATGGTTCTTGGGAAATAAAAAATCCTTACATTCACTCTTGCTTCAGAAATTTTCGACCAATGCTGTGAAATTATGACCACTAAGAATACAAAAATGCTAAATAATTTACAAGATTCGTTGATGACGAATAAAAAAATAGTAATGATTGATTAATATAATTAATTAATAAATGATACTACTGATAATAATGATTATAAATGCGTACTATGTTTTAAAAACAGCAGAATATTGTAGATATTTCGAGAATATTGTTAATTGCATCATGCGTCACATGCACATAATTTATCATCAAAGACATCTTTGCCCTGTTTTTAAAGGTATTCTTATGCCAAGCAATCATGACAAAGCTATGCTATTCGTGCAAATTTTTTATACGTATCGTTTAAGTATATATTTAATATGCAGGATTATAGAATGCGATATGCGCGTCATTAAACGCAGTGCTGTACATAATTATTATTATTACAATTATTATACATTGTATTTAGTAATTATATAATAAGTTTACTTTATTTTGCGATGATCCAATAAAAATTATTTTTACCCGCCTAAAAAATTATTATATGTGACGCGTTAAACAGAATTTTATTTTAATTAGCTAGGAAAGAATATTCATTTTTTATTTTAGACTCTTAAAGTATATAAGATATAGTTTTATATATTTTTTAAAGACTTTTACGCGCTTTATGGAATCTCATTTATATTAGTCTTGTGATCAATAAGTGTAATCATGACCTTAAAAAAAATCTCCTGTTTTTCTACTTTATCATTAATTAATCAAGTATGACAACAAGGTATTATTAATTGTCATTAATTATGTAACTGTCAAATGTTAGTTAAATTTAATACATTAAAAAAACAAACTCATTTACAGTAATATATATTTTTAATTCCTATTGCCGTTAGTATATAAAAATTTTAGATCGTTTTGATCATACATAAACTATAAGAGTCTTTCATTTCAAAAGAACAAAAAAAAATTACTAAATTAGCTAAATGGAGAACAAGGAAATATTTTAAAAAATGTAGAACTCCGCGCGCAAGACTGAAAAGCTTGTACATACTGCGGATACGTATAAATATAATATATATATTAACTACGTATGTAATTGCATAGAAGTCAAAATTTAAATATTATATATTGTAGTTATTCCTGAAAAAAGTTTTTTAATTAAAATGTATATACGGCAATATATTCATAGATTTTCTCATTTATTAAAACATTAAAAAAAAAGTTTATAATTTTCATTGCATCTTTTATTTGTTCGAATTCATTTGAATATACTGTCAAGATTATCCAGATAATTATGTAGTTTTTTTCAAAAATAAATCAACCGTCATACAATTTTAATAAAAATGGAAAAAAATAATTAGTAAGATTATTCATAAAGTCATCATTTAATATTTTTGCAATAAGGTTTATTTTTTAAGCATTAAATTAATTTGAATTGGATATAAAACCTTGAAGACTCAATTCTTCAATAAATTATACAAAAGTTATGTGAGCATTGAAACTTATAAAATATTTTGTTGAATAATATTAATTTACTGAATGACAATGATAGAAATTAAACTTAAGTAATGAATGGAGTGCATACTTTTTGAACAATAATAATACATAATAAAGATTATTATCAAATATTAATTGTTTATTTATTTTGAACCAACGATATCAACAGAACACAAATGAAAAATTAATCAAATTGAAAATAAAAATTTTTTATTATTTTTTAAAATGAAATCTAACACCTAAAGTAATTATAGACATGCTTGATAATTTTTTAACAACGAAACAAATTGAATTATTGTATAATACGATGCCTAATTTAGATTTAACTATACGAATAGGGTATGGCAAAAGCATATTGCATGACGAATGCTACTCACAGATTCGTAAAATTTACAACCCTGATATATGATAGGAATAGACGATTAAAATCAATGTCATAATTAATGTACTCAAAAGAGAAAAAAATAATAATTCCAATGTGAAAATGAATAAGGCAATTATACAATAATGTAAGTAAAAAATTGCTCCCTCTCCAGACAACTCATTAGTGTTACTGAGTCACAACGGAAATTATTCACCACACGAACAAGGGTAAGTTATTCCGGGAATATCCGACTTAAGACCCTTCGATCAATACCTTGGAAGAAAGAATACAAAAAACAATTTAAAAACATCTTTTTTTTGTTTATTATATCATAAATCATCTTGTAAATTTATCTGTACAAAAAATTGATATGAATCACAGACAATATCAAAGTATAAAAACAATCAATTAATAGTATTGTATGCAGATACTGAGTAATTGTTCACGAGTAATTGTTCATATTAATTATTATCTCATTAAGTTATGAATAACTTTCCGATTTATAAATACCTAATAACGCACCCTGAATTACTATATCAGGTAGACTTGATTTTGAGTCAGCATTTACATATGGATCACATTTAAATGTTATTACAGGATGATGTCCTATTTCGCTGGCTGAATGCATATTAGTGCCATTACCATTATTTCTTTTTCCATCAAATCTAAAATAATTGACAGTATTGAATGCATCAGTTTATTGAGCATCATTATTGAAAACTACATTACTTGTAACAACTTTATTATCAACCATAACATTGATAAAAAAACAAATAAACATTTTAAAATAGAGCCGAGTATGCAGATAATGAGAAATTATATTATACAGTATTATCAATGAAAATATTTAAAAACAAAATAAAGAGAAGTTTTATACTATCACTTCATGAGTTTAAGTGTAAATTCTTATGAAGAGTCATAAGTAATTGAAGTTTTTCATCGTATAGATTCATAAAAATAAATATTTAATTAAAAAAATACCTTCTAGAGATCATTTTGCTGGTCCCTTTAGCACCTTCAATTCCTAAAAACTCTAAAACTTGTTGCTTAGTCATAGATAACTGCAGCATCTTCTGGATATAAAATTCAAGAGCAGCTTTTCTTTGTTCTAATACTTTTGGATGACAATTTCTAACTCTCTTCGGTGGGAAAGGTACTGTATCAGTTTCTTTTTTTAGCTGAAAAAATATAATGAAAGCTTATTAACCTATTAACAAATAAAGGTGTCATTTAAAATAAGATTAAATTAATTAAATTACTGTATGTTCTAAATACCTGTTTATTCGTAAAAAATACATCTTTAATAATTATCGATAATATGTCAATAATAATTAGCAATCCATTGAATAATTAATACATAATTAATGTAAATAAAACCAACCTTTCTATGCAGAGCATTAAATGCACTGTATCTTTTTTCAATCGAATATTTAACACCAGTTGTTGAATCGGTTACTTGTATGGTATAAACGTAAAAAGATTTGCCATGAGCTACCTCCGTCAAGCGGTATCCGGTGATAAAAACTTGATACATATCATTGCTTGTTGTTGAAGCATTTGTCGTAAATTCTCGCAACGTCATGACAAACACATCAGCCACAAACAAGCCTCTCCAATTTCATTGATTGCATCAACAGCCATCAATGAATGTCAACATTCATGTATCAACCAACTTTCACTGTGTATTTTAGAATTTCGCTAAATTAATCTGTTATTTGAGTACGTCATTTGATGGATAATTATCACAATGTCTGTATGCCATTTTTAATACGTAAATTGATTTGTTACGTATCTAAAAATTGTGTTTATTTAATCACTACTCCAAAACGTAAAACCTTGCACAACAATCACGTATTTACATTCTTTTATGCATACGTCACAGAAAACTCTCAGCTGGTTAAACAGAATCATAGGAGTCTACTTTATCGACTAGAAAGTCTCCCACGTCGTGACACAGAAAAAATGTTTATGAATCATCACAACAATGTATGTAACAATTTTATCTCTATGCATTGAATTTCTATCTGTAACTTATTTATACATTTTTTCATTGTAAGGATGTTTCATAAACAATATTGAAAAATAATAAATAAATTCTACTTGAAACAATGTTTACTCCAATTTCACTCAATTAACAAATGTTTCTATTTTACTGAAAGATTTAAAAGAGAAAGAGAAAGAATATCGTCTTTTTAGCTAGTTCGATAGTATTTTTGATATTTTAATATGATTCTACGTGGAAATAATTGATGAACAAAGGTCTCTTGGAAATATTATAAACAGAGAAGCAGAGCCAATAACAAAGTCCACTAAACTTCAATACATTCCATAAACGATAATTATTTAATTACTCATTAAAAATCAATGTTACAGGCATGTCACTTGATGGTATGGAAATCAACGTTGACATGAGATAAAATGATTTACACCCCAATTCTGACATACATCCTCACTCTCTACCACCATCTCCAGATGGTGCAAATTAATCCAATGTCAATGTAGCTCCCTCAACGCCTCAATGATGCAGATAATTCTATTTTTCATTAAAAAAATACAATCAGTCGATTGATGAAAGATAATAACTTAGCAATTCTTTCAGGATCTATCCCCAGTTCTTTTGAGTAATGAACCAATTGGTCCAATAAAGAATACAAAATCAAATAGACCACTTCAAGTAGCACACAATCAGATCAGTTTTATAAAATATAATTTTGGATCTAATGCGCAAATAATCTATTTAAAGAATAATTCTAGTTCTTGATGTTTTTTACTATTATGTATATAACATTATGGCAGTTTTATTATGTGTCAATCTATTAATTAGTTAATTAGTTGAATTTTTAAGGTATTAGTGTAATTTCACACCATTGTCATATTTTAAGTGTAAATTTCTCTTGCGAAAGCATAAAAAATAGCGATGAATCATCATAATAGGTTTAGTTTTTATATTAAATACAATATAACGACGTAAGCTACATAAAAAAATTTTGACCTTCGTATATATATAAAAATATAAATAGAAAACATCTTATTAAATGAAAAAAAGTGTGAGATACTTTTTAAAGTTTTATATTACCATAAAGTTGTAATAATTAATGGAAAATGATACTGGTTTTGGAGTAAAAACATTGTTTTTACATACAACTAATTTTAACCTCTCCATAAAAAAAATTATCAAAAATCTGAAACATTATATTGATTAAATAACAGTGCTTTTAGAACGATGAAAAATATCGATGAATCATCAAAACAATTCAAGTTTTAGAGTGAACACGTATTTTTATCTTCGTAGAAAATATTTAAAGGTTATTCTTCTTCATTTGAAAATTTTTACTTTGGAAAAAAATTTATAACGGTTCTATATAATCATAAGCTTGGATTTGAATGATTTAAAAAGGCATAAACTTGAAAATTATTTATATTTATGAACGTAAAAATAAAGAAAGTAAAAATGAGTATACACAAAATTGAAGTTGTTTCAAAGTAGACCGCAACAGCTGTCAGAGCGCTGCGATCGGACTTTCAAGCCGCCGTGTGACGTAGGGCTGCCATATTTTTTTGTATGGGGCCTGCCAGGGGGTCAACCAAATAGCTAGGGGCTTGGAGGTGGCAATACAACAATGTTTAGTGATAATTAAACGGTGTGGTTATTAAATATTTAATATTTAATACAGTTAATAAGTGTGTGAGTTCGCAAATTATAAATAAACTTCTGTAGTTCGTTGATCAGATTGTCAAGACGATATAATTCTTGACGAATTATCCCTCGTATGGATTACATGTTACGTCTCATATTAGAAATCAAAACGAAATGCATTGTCGGGATAAGGTTAAGCCTTAAATAGAAACGTACCATGAATAGAAAGAGATATTCGTGTTGTTTTATTGTTTAAACGTTTCAACTACCTAACATTTATTTGCGCAGAGTGCTTATTCCTTGTTGCAACATGAGTTTATCCGCATTAGGAGTCGCAGAACCACACGCGATTGTGATTCCATAGCTTATTGCACTATTTTTATAGTCTGTGCTCCTTTCACACCCAACTTGAGTGCGTGTGCACTTAAACATGGTAGCGTGTATTTTTATCAAATATTTTAGCGTGCTTATAGTGTTACGTAATATTGATGTGGCTTCGCCCATTCGGTTAATCAGCCTCCCATCTTAGTAATACCATTTTTCCATTCATAATATTTCACCTTGAAATGAGCTAATCACTGATATTTACTTGTGCTAAATCATGAGTGCCTCGCATATACACTTATTCCACTTATCAACACACTCAATTATAACCTAAATATATTCCCTGGCTAGTTCAATGTACTATCATGCTAAATAAACTATGATATTTATTTTTTTATTTCACTTCTAGTGCATATATTGTCCAGTTATGTGGCTGAAAATTACCGAGGTTGTAATCAGCCAGGACAATAATGACAACAACGGAATCCAAGGATCCTGTTGAAGGATCATTTACATACAAAGCAAAAATCATGTCGAATCCATCGAATCATTCCTATAACTCAACGGACCTTACGTCCGAAGGTATGTTTTGGAACTCTTTATCAACGTTAGAGTAAATAAATCAATAACCTAATTCTGCATTATTCATTTCTTTTTCCAAAATTTCAGGAGTTGTTGGAAGACTCCGACGATTGGAGAATCTTTTTACAGCTGGTCCAGTGCAAGGAAGCAAAACAGGAGGCCATATCTTTTCTATTGAAACTCTTGTCGATATTCTATTAATTCTTTATGATGAATGCTGTAATTCGTCACTACGTCGAGAGAAAACTGTTTCAGATTTTATCGAATTCGGTAAGTTGTTTGAAATCCATTCATTTAACCTTTAATTTAATCAGAGAAATGTAATTATTCATTCTGATTGTTATATATTGGTTTTTCACAGTAAAACCTGTAGCTACATGTATCAAGAGTTTGCAATTAAGTCGAGAAGACTTTGAAATTGTTAAAGTAATAGGACGGGGAGCTTTTGGGGAAGTATGTGTAGTGAAAATGAAAGGATCAGATAAAGTATTCGCCATGAAAATATTAAATAAATGGGAGATGCTGAAGAGAGCAGAAACAGCATACTTCAGAGAAGAGCGTGATGTGTTGGTATATGGTGATAGAAGATGGATTACCAATCTCCATTATGCTTTTCAGGATGATAATAATCTGGTAAGAAGTTAATTATATCATTATGATAGTTACTTATAATTAACGTCCATATCAATTGGCTATTGATAGTCGATTACTTATTTGATCGAACACTATGACTATCCAGTAAAAGAATTTATGCCCTTGTTTCAATTAAGACATCAAAATTACTACTTAATTACGTATTTTCTAATTTAGAATGTTACCGTATAGAATAAGATAATTAAAAAGTTTTTATATATTTGCTACAATGATATTGAATTTAATTATATTTTTTTTTTAGTACTTGGTGATGGATTATTATTGTGGTGGAGATTTGCTCACTTTACTAAGCAAGTTTGAAGACAGGTTACCTGAGGACATGGCCCGCTTTTACATAGCAGAAATGGTGCTCGCCATTGGATCAATACACGATTTACGTTATGTGCATCGTGACATAAAACCTGATAATGTTCTCTTAGATGCCAATGGCCACATTCGTCTGGCTGATTTTGGTTCGTGCCTTCGACTCTTTGAGGATGGCACAGTACAGAGTAATGTTGCCGTTGGAACCCCAGATTATATATCGCCAGAAATACTTCGGGTAATTATGGTTCAATTAAATTCTATTTATCAGCTTTGTATCTCCTTCAATTGCCTTCCATTAAATAGTCCAAAAGATTGTTTTCGTAATTACTTTTTAATTGTTTGTTTTTCACTATTTTCGAAGTACATACGTAATAGAATTCTGATAATGTTAACAAAATATTAATGAAGTCTAAATATCATTAACTATTTCAGTTGATTGAATAGCAATGAGTCATACTAATGAATTGTTAATGAATAATTACAGGCAATGGAAGATGGACAAGGTAGATATGGACCTGAATGTGATTGGTGGTCTTTGGGAGTGTGTATGTACGAAATGTTGTTCGGTGAAACGCCGTTTTATGCGGAATCTCTAGTCGAAACTTATGGAAGAATAATGAACCACAAAAACTGTTTTGATTTTCCGGTGGATGATGCTTACGAAGTATCAGAAGAAGCGAAGGATCTCATAAGAAAATTAATATGTAGTTCAGAATTCAGATTAGGCCAGAATGGAATTGAAGATTTCAAAAAACATCCGTGGTTTGAAGGAGTTAATTGGGACACTTTGAGGGACAGTACAGCGCCCTACATTCCTGAAGTTTCATCACCTACAGATACATCGAATTTCGATGTTGATGATACCGATATTCGAAGTTCAGATGCGGTTCCACCATCAGCAAACTCAGCGTTTTCAGCTCTACATTTACCCTTTGTTGGGTTCAGTTTTACCCAAGGCAGTCGAATATCAGATTTAGGTTCATTACCTGTTATTTCAGAACGAGATAAGAGTGTTCAGATACTTGAGGAAGAGAATGCACGGTTATTACAAACAATTGCGGATCTGAAGCGTCAATTAGGAGCTGCAACTTCGCCAAATGCATCTCCAGACTCTAGTATTGCAACAAGAAAACTTCAAGATGAAATTAATACTCTTACAAAACGTAATTGTGAACTGGAAATACAATTAAAGTCAATAGAAGCACCTCGAGAAATACGAAATATTGATAATGGTGATTTAACAAAAATACAAGAGCTTGAAAAACTAGTTCGTCTACTTCGTTCTGAAAAAGAGGAGGCTATGAAGGAAAAGTTAGATGTCCAAGAGAAACTAAAACTACAAGATAAAGAGTTGAAAGACGCATTGACACAACGTAAACTTGCTATGGCAGAGTACACAGAGGTGACAGATAAATTATCAGAATTGAGACAACAAAAGCAAAAATTATCACGGCAAGTTCGTGATAAAGAGGAAGAGCTTGAAGGCGTTATGCAGAAAGTCGACACTCTGCGACATGATATCAGAAAAGCAGAAAAGTTACGTCGGGAGTTAGAAAATCGCGTGGAGGAAGCTATGGCAGAGACGAGTAAGGAAAGAAAACTAAGAGAGAGAAGTGAGGAATATTGTAAACAGATGCAAGAAGAGACTGAAAAAATACGACAACGATCGATCGGAAGTGATGTAAGTGCAAACCATGCTTTAGCAACGCAAGAAATTAATCGACTGAAAGCAGAAGTTGAGCAGCTCGAAGTTCAGTATAATGAAAATTTGAATCAACAACAAAGCCGTTTTAATTCTGAAATACGAAGCTTACAAGAACAGCTTCATGAGGCAGAAAGTAGGCGAGATATATTAGAACGAGAAGTCCAATTAACAAAAGAGAAATTGGATGCTGCTAGATTGGAAAATATTACAGATAGTGAAGAGACAATAAATGAATTAAATAGACGTCATGAACGAGAGAAGATAATGCTAGCTGAAGAAAATAAAAAATTATTATTGGAACTCAGTTCAGTAACTGACAGCATGAACAGGATTCAAGGGGAACGGCGGACACTCGAGGATGAATATGAAGAGCTGAGAAATAAAAAAGAAGCAATTGCACAGTGGGAAGCTCAAATTACGGAAATTATTCAATGGGTATCGGATGAAAAAGATGCAAGAGGTTATCTACAAGCATTAGCAACGAAAATGACAGAAGAATTGGAATTCTTGAAACATTCAGGAGGTGTTGGTGGTGTTGGAAGTACCTCAACGATGTCAGACAAAAATTGGAGAAATCGTAGATCTCAAAAGCTTGATAAGATGGAATTGTTGAATCTTCAAAGTTCATTACAAAGTGAAATCCAAGCGAAACAAGCTATTTCTGAAGAGCTCACCAAGACTCGATCTGATCTTATTGCTGCACAAAAGTAAGTTAAATTGAATCTACAACCAACATAACATTAACCTTTTAATATAATAAGATCGAAAGTTTTTTTAGCATTTCATGTACATTATTCTTCGGAACTTTTTACCATTACTCAAGTATTTCTATTACTGTTGTATTGCAAAATAAATAATTTATTTTCTCTAATGTTTTAGTTGACGTAGAATTAAATTAAAGTAATTTATCAATTTTAATACATCGTTTAATGTAATTATTACGTAATTTAAATTTACTAATTGATTTAATTATTACAGAGAACTACGAGACTTTAGACAACGTTTGGACTCAATGTCGCACGAAATGAAGAGGAAAGAAATGCAGATCAAGGAGTTGCAATCCCGAATAGACTCAAGCGATGGTTGTAAGTACAATTCCAATAGTACTTTTACCGTCGAGCGCACTTCAAACATTCACAAAAAATCCTTCGAGCATTTTATCTTCATGATTGTAACGCAAACAGCAGCTATTCATGCTGTTTATGTGTTATGGAGGCATTTAAATTTATCTCGTTGGTTCTTTAGATAGAGAAATAGATACAATAGAGAAATAGAAATGAATTATTGATACAAAATTATTAAGGACACATACATTCATACCTATATAAAAAATTAATCTATATTGATTGGATAAATTACTGTAAAAAGTAGCATGGTAGAATTGTTCAGTATCTATAGACCATATATCTCATAAAAAATTCATTTAATTACATCGTTAATCACCATTAATTTAGAAAATGCATGCGTAGATGTAGATATAGTGTTGTAGATTAGTGTACATACCATACACTTTATTGTAATTTTAATGATTTTATTATTTATTTATTATTTTTTATTTACTTTAAAAAGTATTACGGTATTGGTCAAAACTAACTAAATTTTTTTGAGTTTGCATAAATTAATTATGCACTGGTAAAATAATTTTTAAAATATTCACAAAATAACTTTATATAATTTTTTATGTTAATCACGCCACTAATGACTAATCAATAAAATTATAAATACCGTAAAGATTTTATTTTTTTATTTACTTTATAAATAGGAGAAGATACAAAAAATAATGGAGAACTTTTGTGAATAAAAAAATGATATTATATAGTGATTGATTATTTATTTATTCATTAATTTATCTTAAAAATAAATTAGTGTTGACCAAAATCGTAAAAATAATTTTTTTGTATATATTTTTATCATTTCCATGTCCGGGTTTATTATTTTGATTATTATAATAGCATTTAGAAGATTTTAAATCAAATAGAAATAATACATGATATTTTTTAAACCAAAATCAAAGTATAATTGAAATATACAAATACTGAAGCCGCAAATAGACTACCTGAGGTTCCTAATTATTCAAAATCATAAAATAAAAACACAAAAATAGTACGTAAATAAAGGAAAATGCCGAGTGCTGATTGTGGGTATACTTGTACACAAAGTTGGTATATTATCAGGAGTAATGAACTCCTGTGGAAGTCAAAATAATACAATTGTTGATACTGGGATTGCTGTCCAGCATAAGTAACCCGAAGTTCGGCACGGTATGCAATTCTGATTTCTAGACTACAAAGTGCCCCTGTTTATTGGCGCAACGAGCTGCGTGTGGGGCCTCTTGTTGCTCATCATCAAACTGTATTTGTGACAGCTGTTCTACCTACCGTATCGTCTTCAAGCAAAACGTCTTCAAACATCATTACAACCAAACCCCAACGTATCATCGTGCACCAGCCGTCATCACCCTTACCAGTAATGCGTTCTCCCCGCATCACAACATGTCGCTTATTAACTAGATTTGCTACGGTCAACTCGATCATCAATCGCAATGCTGTTGCCATCGTATCGTCGCCTGGTAAATTATATTCAAAAATCGGAGTGAAAATTTGTCTTCTTAAGATGCTGGACCATTTGTATCGCTATTAACACAGCACACCGCTATGTTTTTAGACGATATACCCAGTGCAATTGAAACGTTTATCAATCCCATATGATAGCAATTGCATTTATCACATAAATTATTAAGTCCTTAGTTTTATAAATCATGTCCTTCGCGAGTTCGTAAGTACTTTTGCCAAATCAAACCGGCACGTTTCCCTTAACTCTTTCGAACAAACTTACTTATGCAAATATGCATGCTGTGAGAGTGCAAACAGACAAAGTAATGCAAACATTTACAAGTGTATTTGCGGTTTATATTTTTAAAAAACAATTTTAAAATAAACAGCTTTCTTTTACAAGTATTGCTTTGGAGTTTTAGCAGATGGTTTTTTTGGTAGATGTAGTTATCCTTTTACCACAGATGGTTGAAATCATGTGGATTAAATATGCTTTACTTAGAAAATCTTACACAGACTTGAGGTGATTGTGCTAGGAGTTTATTAAACGTTTGATAATGAAAATTAAATTTATTAATAATTCACACAAATGCTATTTAATTGAAATAAAATAATATTTCTATTAAAATGTGCGCTTGGAATTATTGTTTTATTTTCTTAAATTTAATATTTTAATTAATTAATCAATTAATTTAAGTCATCTGTAATTAATAGATCAGATTTTATGATCTCTTATTATAAATATTACAGTCTTGGAACGTCCGACTTCCCAAATGTCTTACTTGGAACACTTTCTCAAGGAAACAGCTGGCAGTGCACGTCATGGAAGTGTGGATAGTGTGGAGGGTGATATTGAAGACAACCGGGCTCCAAGTCTTACAAGTAGCAAAAGCAATCTCTCAGAACTTAGTATTGTAAGTAAATTATTTTTATAAAGTTTTTTCTTTCTTATACAAGAAAGAAATTTTAATTAAAACTGTTTTCAAACTCAATTTAAAATAACTAAAACCGAATAAAATACGTGAAGTAGTTGTAATTCGAATATTTTAAGAATCCATATTCTAGACCACTAATTCCTATCAACCTTTATGATTACAGGATCCAACATCGCCATTATCACATGATTTATTGAACAAATCATCAGCGTCTCATAATCAAGCGGCTTTGCAACCCAAACCGAAATCCCATCAATTTTTAGTTCGAACATTTTCTGCACCAACTAAATGTAATCACTGTACATCGTTAATGGTGGGTTTAACGAGACAAGGAGTTGTTTGTGAAGTTTGTGGCTTTGCTTGTCACATGCCTTGCTGTGACAAAGTACCACCAATGTGTCCAGTACCACATGACAAAAGTAATAATTTAAAGCAAATAATTATCATCGAATTCTATTATTTCCAACTTCAATATCTGTTTCTATTTCTTTACCAATCTCTTTTTATACTTTATGCTTTACAGCTAAAAGACCTCTTGGAATCGATCCTACACGAGGTATTGGAACAGCTTATGAAGGCTATGTAAAGGTTCCAAAAATGGGTGGTGTTAAAAAAGGATGGGTCCGTCAATTTGTCGTTGTGTGTGATTTTAAATTGTTTCTATACGATATTTCTCCGGATCGGAATGCACTGCCTTCTGTTTATGTCTCTCAAGTGTTAGATATGCGAGACGAAGAATTTGGCGTGAGCTCAGTTCGTGAGTCTGATGTCATTCACGCGACAAAAAAAGACATTCCATGCATATTTAGGGTAAGTTTGGAGTTACAAATATTTTTTTTCATTAATTACTCAATGAATTTATCTTTGAAGGTATAATTATCTTAAGAGACTAGCATAAAATCTTACACAATTAAACGTTTATACTATTAGTTATTATAGTTGAAAATAATTATTTTATTTTTAAATACTACTAAAGAATAAAAACTTGGAACTTAGAAGTTTTAATGGGTTATAAAAAATTTTACGAGTTGTAAAAAGAAATTTTTTTCTTGCTGGAAACTTTTATAAAAATATATGCTAATGAAATAGAAATTAAAAAATGATAACATGGTTACTTTTTTATTTAAAAATGTTCATACAGAACTTTTATAATTCATTACTTTTTTATGTTAAGCATTTGCATACAACTTCCTTTGTATTTTATAAAGTTTAATTAACTCTTTTTAAATATAAACATATTTGTATCTTTTAGATTACAACGTCTTTATTAGAACCACCGGGCTTACGAAATCATACGTTGATGCTTGCTGATACTGAAAGTGAAAAGACAAAATGGGTCGTTGCTTTAGGAGAACTTCATCGAATTTTAAAGAAAAATAATCTTCCAAATACAACGGTTATTCTTTATATCATTTATTTTCACAATAATTTTCTGGTTTGTTAATTATTTTAATTTCCTCTCTTATTGATTTTATATTTTAGGTCTTCCGTGCAAAAGAATTGCTGGATAACACATTGGCAATAATTAAAAACGTGATGTCAGGAGCTGTTATTGATCCTGATCGTCTAGTCATTGGTACCGAGGAGGGTCTCTTTTGTTTAGACTTAGATCGTAGTGAAGTCGCAAAAGTTGGTGAAGGAAAAAAAATATATTTACTGGAGTATATAACGGAAGAGCAATTAATTGTGGTGCTTAGTGGTAAACAACGTCATGTTCGATTAGTTCCTGTGCGTGCACTGGATGGAGATGAAGTAGAATGGATTAAAGTTGCTGAGACCAAGGGTTGCATTACATTAACAACAGGTGTGGCACGACGAAATCCACTCACGTATTGTTTGTGTGTAGCTATTAAAAAACAGGTGAGCCTTGATAGATAAATAATTTCATTTATTTCTTATCTTATGCAAATTACTGTCTTAATGAGCTTTAAGTATTTTAAAATTATCCTAAAAAGAACATTTCATTTAAATACTTGAATATTTAAATTTCTTTAATGAACTGTTCAGTGATTTGTAAATAATTGTTTATTGTTATCTCTGAATAATATTTATTATATTAATTTATTAGAAAGTTATTTTTGTTATTAACATTATATTTTTTGTATAATTTTTAGAACGCGTCACATGTCATGATTTATGAAGTAACGCGTACAAAGACACGACACAAACGTTTACAGGAGTTAATGTTGCCTTGTCAAGCACAAACTCTTCAAGTTCTCTCTGAAGGTCGTTTATGCGTTGGATATCCTTCAGGCTTTTCTATTTACAGTATTATTGGTGATCATCAGCCTATTTGTAAGCATTAAAATTTTAATAATTATTCATATTTAAGAAATTTCTAATCTACTCATTAATTGATAATTTTTTTATATTTTTTCTCTAGCTTTGGTCCATCCAGAAAACTCTTTATTAGGTTTTCTCACTTACAGTGCAGTTGATGCGCTGCGCTGTGTAGAATTACCAAGAGGAGAGTTTTTACTAGTTTTCCAAACTTTGGCTGTTTATGTTGACAGTCAAGGAAGGAAAAGCAGAGACCGTGAGATCATGTATCCTGGTGTTCCAACCGCAGTCAGTAAGTATTAATTAATTTAATTTTACCACAAACATGTTTGAAGACATCTCCAATATCTTTACAACAAAAACCTCATTAAAACGTTGTCAGAAATCTTGTCACAAGTTTACTTATTAATTGTTCAAGTTTAGAAACTTAGCGGTTGATATGATGTAAACTTGTAGGCATCCAGATCTATGTCATAGATAGTCAACAAACTTGAAAGCATTATTATAAGATGTAGACATTTAATTAGTTTATTTTAATTGTTTTAAATCAAGAGTTTGATTTATGATTATGAATATTTACAATAATCGTGTTTCTATGAAAAAAAATCTTAATCATTCTATCGATTTAACGCATGTACTAATTAAAAGTTTTCTGTATTAGAATTAGTTTATCACAATATTTAATTCATAGTTGATAGAAATCGATGAGGAATACATTGTAATCTCCTTTCTCTTATTTTCAGGTTATTGCGATGGATATCTTTTGGTATATAGTGAAACTCATATTGATGTATTTGATTGCTCCACTGGCGATTGGTTGCAAACACTTAACGTTAAACGAGCTCGACCGCTCAATTATTCTGGTTCTCTTACTACTTGTATAATTAATGATATGCCCTATGTCATTTACCTAAGTAATTTACACCAAAGTAAGTAGATTATTAAATGCTTAATTTACAAAATTTCCTGAAGCTGTTTAATAATCCTGATAATTATCTTTGTAGGAGAATTACTCAACTTAACACCATTAGACGCAAGTGGTAGGCAGATAACAAGGCCCAGAAGACGGTTTTCATTACGAGAAGGGAATAGGGGAACTCGACCAACAGATAGACGGTCCAAGATGATATCAGCTCCGACCAATTTCAATCATATCAGTCACATGGGTCCCGGAAATGGCATTCAAATTCAACGTTTACTGGATTTACCGACAACGTTAGAAACAGCTGATCAACAGCAATACTCCAATCATCCTGGTACTACTCATCTACATCAAAATCCACCACAACGATTTTATAGTCCTCCTGTTCAAGCTCCTAGTAAACCTGCGCCATTACCACCTAGACATCCTCCGTCTGACACTCGACGTCTTAGTTCTCACATGTCAAGAAACTCGGGATATTCTCCACTTAATGGTAAATATCATTAATTTATTATCTATGTGAATATTAACAAAATTTATTATTAAATTTCTATTGGAAGACAGATAAAAATAAAACAATAATGATTAAGATTTTTTTTCTTTTATCAAAGGATCAACATCATCTCGAAGAGGACCAGCTCCACCAAGACCAACTGCCACTCCACCATCGTTACCACGTACGCCTGTGGACCAAGCTGAATCGGAATCTTTACATATCCGATCACATACACCACTTTCTCTTGGAAGTATAGCATCTTTACAAGAGAAGGTTCGTTAAATATTTTAATAATTTTTTCTCTACATTTATATAATGAAAATATTAATAATAAATTATTTTATATTAAGGAACACGCCACTGGAGGAAGTCCTCGTCATTCAATTGCATCAAATAATAGTTCAAACCCATCAACGCCGCCTAGTCCTGCTCACGATCACGGATCATCATCATATGATTCATAAAAATATTAACGAACAAAAAGTTAAATTACAAATCGGCCGGCTACTTACGACGTTCCTTGCTTCGAAGTCTGGGCAGCTTAATGGAGTTATGACCAGATGTTTTAAGATGTAAGGGTGCAAATTTACTTAAATATTAATTAAGTTTATTTAAAGACAACTTTGTAAACAGTCAATTAATGAATAGTTACATTATTTTTACTGTCGACAAGTTGTCATAGTATTACTGAAGATTTATATATACATAATATACATAATATATATAAAATAATATTTGAAGAAAGAAACAATTAATTGCCAAATAACATATGCTATAATCTTATTAAGAATATCAGATTATAATTAACGATTAATAATGGAGTAACGAATTTTATTAAAATTAAGTATTGTCTTTCTATGCAATTAGCTGTTTCTCAGTTAGTCAACGGCCTTATTTATTATTTTGCATAATTGGGTATAACCAAGAGAACCAAAATAATTCATCATAATAATAGAGCATTTTATTTTTGGGAAATATCTTATAATCAGGTTCTCAAAATAACTTTTTTATACGAACAAAAATTATAGTAACATTTTTAGCGCTTGTTATCGGGCGCACATGATCAATTAATTCAATTATGATAATTGTAAATAGTTAAAGTGTTTAATGCTCGGCTAAAATCGGCTTTTTAACAACGTATGTCTGGTTTTATTAACAAATAATGGATTTATAAATAATCATTGTGTGTTACGTCCTATTATAAACATAAAATAAATTTTAATTGGATTTTTCTGATATTAAATTTTATAAGATCTTAATTCAGACGCTCATAATTATGAAAGAAAAACACAGTCGAATTATATAGCAATAAATTATTGCATCTTTGTTCAATGATTATTATCTATAGGTTTTTAGGTATACACAAATAAGTTCAAAAAATCTTTTAAATAAACAATTACACAGTTAAAAAATTTTCAAGTCTATTTTTAAAAACGCTCAGTTATAAAGTAATTGTGGTAAATTTTTATCACGTTAATCAATTTATTGGATTATTTTTTATATAAAAAAAAAAACCAGCTGATCTAGCTTATCAAATTTTGTGCTAACATATTGTTATCAATTCATTTTATGACAGAAATTTAGCACAATTTTTTTATATGCCGTTTTTAAATTCAAGTATACTCAGACATTTTTTACTGTGTATTACCAATTACAAATGATTATTATCCAAAATAATTGTTAGAAATGATGGTATTAAATTGAACAAATATAAATTTATTAAATGCCTTATTATTAAAAAAAACAAATTTTATAATTATGTCGTAAAAACAATACATGCGCCACAGTGTGAATATTAGAACTTAAGCATAATAATTTGTTGCAATTTTTTCTGATGAAAAAAAATAATTAACGAATAATCATGAACGACGTTCAAGGGAAGTGACTTGATGCGATGGAATGCAATGTCAATATTATTAGTTATAATGACATAAATATCTCAATACATAAAATATATGAATATTAAAGTATATTATACTTACGTTAAAAGAATGATCCCATCGAATGTATTAATTTTAATCAGTCATTTGACGTAAATATTATCTTGGCAGTTATACACACAGAGTTAATGCTAGTTTTATTTTTTAACCATTTGAAAAAAAAGAAATCAACTTGTTCGTGAATCAAGATTTATGTACAAAAATATATGTATAAACTAGCAAAAGCCTTTGTATAACGCCATATTTTATTAGAAATTTTTATCATTTTTTTTTTTACTAACCACGTTTTTATTATAATAATCGATATTATTCTTTGCTATGATTTTGTATGGATTTTTTTTATATTGTGATCTTCGTGAAATTCCACAATGATTTTTTATCGTACGTCACCCGAATAATGAAATAATTATTGTTAAATTAGGGATTACAATTATAATAATTATAAATATGATATAAAAAAAGTATGATGTCAATTGATTGATGTGCGATTTTTTATGTTTTTTATACTTGTAGCTACACTTTGGCTCTATCAACGTAGAACAAAATACATGATCTATTAATTTATAATATCTATTATCGAACAATTATGAAATAAATATAATTAAACAAAAATGGAAGGTTTGAAAACGTACGAATATGTTTATAAATTGAGGCTTCCATGGAAATTAATATATTTCTATCAATCATTTATCATAATATCATTTTAATGTTCAATGTTAAATTTACATCTAAAATAAAAAAAAATGTAAGTTCAATTTAAATGAGACTCATTGATAATAATTGTTTTTTATAAATTAAGAATATTATCAAATTAATAAAAATAATATCCATAAAAAAATAATATCAGACTGAATGAGGACAAATGTCCCAGACCATATGATAAAATAGATTTATGAAAGAAATAGGCTGATAAAAATAATGAAAAATCAATTTGTCATGTTGAAAAAAAAAAAAAAAGTTTCTCTTGCATTGAACATTTATCATAAAAAACCAAACTTTGTTTATAATTTTGTAAATAACATAACACTTTCTGATAATATCTACAAAGTCTTCACTTACAATTTTAAAGGTTTTTAATTTTAATTTTAAGTCCGAATATCAGTAAAATGTATGATTTCTTCGTTGTAATTCACTGTAAAAAAAAACGATAACAATAATTTAAATGCATAATAATTATACTTATGACAACAAAGAAGTAATGATAAATTATAAAGCGTGTTGTAGTGTAATTACGAATGTAGAAGTAAGTGATTGGGAATTTCCAAAAAATGAAAAAAAAAAAAATTAATAATAAAGACGTTCATAATAAATTATAACGATTAATAACACAGTAGATTAGAAATTATAATTATACTCTGGTAATCACCAGTGTAATATATTAATATCTGGTCTTATTATACAGCATTTCGAACGCATATAGTTTTTAGAAATATTGTAAAACTTATTTATGGCTCTTGTGCATTGTTCAAAGTATTTATTGAAACCAATAACTATAAATAATTATCATACATTAATTATATAATAATGGAATATTGTAATTTAGTTACAGCGTTGTGTAACTGTAGATTTTGTAGATTCTAGGATATTTTTTTTGTATTTCTTATGATCGCATTAACAATGTGAAACGCATTTTAATGATAAAATTTTTCTCGTTTACCAGTTATATTATTTAATAATGCAGCACAGAGAAATTATAATCTAAAAAATACATAAATGCTTTATTTTTTTTTACTCCCCTTTTGTTACTATTGTCATAGTTTTCAATATCGATTTCATGTACAGTAATGGTCATTAGCATGTGGAAACAGTCGGGGGAATTATGTTTAAAATAAATTGAAAAATATTGGATCTAAAAATTTAACACAAAATTACTTTCTTAGTTTTTTTGATGTCATGCTTTAGAATTATTAAAAAAAATTTTTTATTTTTATTGATTTCATAAAAAGCGAGCATTTAGAAAGTAGAACAATTATGATATGACAATAACTAATTTGAGATAAAAAAAAAAACTACTAAAAATGCTAAATTAATCATGATAATTCTAGCGTGACTAGAGAATGAAAGATGAAAAAAAAAAAAAAATTTCTTCTTTTGAATTCAATACTTGTAAGGATTGTTCAACCCAATAATATAACAATTTTAAAAAAGAAATAAATAAGTGCATAATTATAATTCTGTAATTTTTGACCAGAACTGTATTTATCGGGATTAAGAATTTACATAATTATTTTTTGGCTTTTGAAAGATTTCACAACTTGTTTTTATTCAATTTCTCTGTTGACAAAGTGGCATCAAATTTTAGATTAATCAACCGTTATAAAAAATCACTCGTGGGGTATATTTTACAATCTAGAAATGCATCCTCTTATTGTTTATTTCACCACTTTCAACTACAAATACAATCATAACAAATTACTTTCACATAGCTACGGTTATAATTTATTTTATTTAAAACTTAGCAGAATAGTTTATTAATTAATAATGTTAGCAATGATTGATGTTAATTTAAAGTTCTATTTTCAATCGTACTATCATGAATGATTTATTAATGAATGAAAAATGATACAATTAGTCATTTCCTATTGTCAAATTAATACTACTATTTATTACAGCGGCAGTCTTCATACTCCCATATACATGTGAAAACTTAAATGATGAAATAATGTTTATTATTTCTACAATTTTCATTTGATATTAATTATTACTGTCTTCGACGTTATTAGTGTATATATAATTACTTATTTAAACAGTTGTTACATTATTTTTTATTTTGCAATAACTATAGTTTTTATTGAACTATCTTAAAATTTATTTTATGATTACGCTTATAAAGTTTTCAGTGAAGCCATTGAAACTTTTAATTACATTTACAATTTATCTATCTATTATTTTCTTTACTTCATCGAACAATAGTTAAACTGTTAACAAAAGTTGATTCATTAATATGGTGCAGTGTCGAAGTAAAGTGTGCGTATTTATATACTAAAATTATAGTTAACATTGAAATTTAGTCATGGTCAAAATTATTTTAATTCTTAAAAATCATAAAATATATGATGAGTATGTTTTTTTCCAGTATTTTATTCATTCCCTAACTAAAAGCCATGAATTAATTCCAATTGAATAAAAAAGATTCCAGTATGATTTGCTTTAAAAACATATAAAATGGAAGCAAAATTTTTTTTTTGATGATGAAATATTGTAAAAAGTATTCATCTTATCAACTTTGACCATTACTATATTCAATGTTTTTTAATAAACAAAAAAGTTTACAATAATTGACTGTACACATGATGTGTAATTAATAATTAATTTAAAAAAAATTATATAATAATCATTATACAAAATTATAATTTATCACTGAAAAGTTTATGGCTTGTATTGTTATTATTAATTATTTATATCATCTTAAAAAATGGTTTCTACACAACATGCTCATCTTCATTCACCACTTAAACTGTTAATTTAAATTTTCCTAATATTTTTTTCTGTAACAAGTAACATCATACGTCTGACAACGATTTAGTAGTCGAGATAATAATTGATTAGAATTTGAAAAATCGCTGTACATAACGTATTAAAAATTGTACATAGTTATCTAATTTTTAAAGACTGATTAATCTCGAGATAGAATAGAGAGAAAATAATTAGTTGACAGAGAGACAGTTAAATGCATTTTTAAGTATTAAATTAAATTAAAATATTAAATAGTTTAGCTGATTACATGTTATCCATAAGAATAGAGAGTAATATGTGCAAATAAATAGAAATTAGTGCTTTCATTTTTTTTTTTCGTGTCTCATTTGACGTTTGGATGCCCATCACAGAAATGTTCTAAGTCGCAAATGACATGTTATAAAGTAGTGGACGCGTGATTAATTCACATTATAGTTATTGTGAATACTATTTCACAATAATGTCATAGGGTATTTAAATGTAGTTTTATTATAAAGCAAGAACTATAATTTTTAAGAGGAATGTTTTACTTTTGATCGTTATTATGCAATTGAAGGAATTTTTTCCAACTGCTTGAGAAAGATTTTTGAAGATTTCTACATTTGTTGATATCAGAGTGTACGGTTTATAAACAAATGTATAAATTTAAATAATAATTTTTAATCTGGATTGGAAAAAAATACTTGTCATTACATAATGGTTTATATATCAAAGTAAAAAATCTTCTTAAACCGAGAAAAATTGTTATTTGAATTAGGAAGCCAATGCTCGTACAGATAATCTCTATTCATCCAATAGTCACATGAATCTCAGTCTCCTAATCACTTTGATTTGTAGGCATTATTTTGTTAATCAACTATTAAACTTCGACTGTTTAACAAATATTCAACTCTTACGTTCACGCTGCCAAATATTGTAAACGCAGCGTTGTAAGGAAGGCATTATTTTCGTTAATTTTTTTGTTTTAATGTCTTTAGTAAAATTTTTTATAACCATCAAAAAAATTTTCTGACCTAGAATGCTTATTATGTCTCATTTGAACTTTAGAATCATGGATTTTAGACAACGATACAGCTTTATAAAAACATTTTGAGGGTCAGGAGATACATTATTTGTTCTTTGACTTTGTGTAAATTGCTTAGAACTTAAAATGTATGGCTCCTGCGACATTTCAAAATGTTACACTCGCTGCCATCGTGTAATGCTAAATGTTACAAAGACGTTTCTGAAGGAGGTGTACTTTCACGGTGGCTAACATGCCCCAAAGATTGTGTAAGAGCATCTGGTGTAAGCCATTCTTTTGGTAGGCAGCGTTGAAGAAAAGGAACACATGAACTAAAATATGCTAATCGATTTACCCATCCAGGAATTTCTTGTCCACATAAAATCTAAAATTAATAATGAGTAATAAGACAAATATCCATCAATTAATTATATTTGCAATGATTGAAATTATATTTGTTAAGCAATTCAATGTTATTAATTACCTGTGTCAATTGACTACTAAAATGATTACAATTTTTGTTCATCAAATGGTAGCGATCACCTCTAAAGTCTTTGCCCAATTCTGTAACAATTCTTGCTACATCTTCTTCCGTAAAATCGGTATATCCAATATGAACCGATTGCCTAGAAGCAGTAATTGATTAATTATTAAAAATTATTACTTATTCAAAAGACAAGTAAAGAACTTACCGAAATCTGAATTGTTCTCCAAGCTCATTGGTATCTCGAGGGGAAATTTCAAAAATACCCGAGATTGGAAGAGAGTGACCGCCGTAAGCATATTCTAGAGAGAAAATCAAATATTCCATGAAACAGACAAGTATAAATAGCTTGATTTAATATTCGAAAGAATTCATATCTAATGTATACACATACCAACACCATATATTTCAACGCCAGAATGGAAGACTCCCAAGCCTATGGGTGTTGTATATTCATTCATCCAGTACTAAAATAATATCATATGTTAGATCACAGTTTCAGATAAATTTAAGATCACTTAAACTTATGAAATGAGAACTTTAGAGACTGTATAATTATTTAATTTAGTAATTAAATGTTAAATTGAGGATGATTTTCTTAATTAAAACATATAAAATGGATAAACTTACCATATCATACACATTGAGGATAATTGGTTCTCTGGCCATTTTTGGAATTAATTCTTCACTATCTTGAGGATAACCCAAACAGCTTGGAAAGGAAATATTACAGCCAAAACCTGATGAAAACATCACAGAGATACTTGTACCTGCAGAGACCAGGTAGCACTAGCTACAATCCAGAGCACCTAATAAGCAAATACATTATCTAGTTTTTGAATACTCTACTTAATTCAGTCTTGTAAAAAAATTTTATGTTGTTTCTTTCATTTTATAATTATAATTGATTATATTATACGTAGTATTTATATTTCTTTATCTAAAAATAATCCATAAATAAAAATGCCATTATAAAGCACTTTTAATGAAAAAATTATCATAAGTTAAAAAAGATTCCTTCATGAATTTTCATTAATTAGACTTTGGATTGAAGTTTTCATATTTTATGTTATTATTAACTACTTACTTATCATAATTTATTCATCTTTCGATTATTAAAATCGTCTGAGATTCATTATTTATCAAATGTGCTGTACAATTGTGTTGTTTAACAAGAACAATATTACAATCAAAATGAAAAAAATTTATGACGTAAATTTCAGAAACCTGCCTTTATATTTCAATGTTTTTACATTATTTTTTACAAGACTGACTCATATATCTATGCAGAGCTGATATTTATCTACTCCAATATTTTTAACAGCTTTTCTACGAAAAATATCAACCTATATAGATAAAAAAAAAAACATAATACTAATCTAACACTTTAAGTCGATAATTAGGCCCTTTAATAAACAAAGGAAGCGGATTTCTATTAATTACTTGATTTAAAAAAAAAAAAAAAAGTTAACTACACTGCTGCATATAAAAAGAAAATAACTTAAGTATTTACAAACAAAGACAATATCGATAACAAAAAGTTTTACCTGTGAAATGATTACTATACTTTTGAATTAGTCTAGTTTAGGTTTCAGTTCATGAACAAATAATATGTTAGTATATTAATATAGTATTTAAAAACATAATTAAATCAATGTTTGTAGAAGCAAATAAAATTGAGGAGTTTCCATAAAATAGCTGTCAGAAGTATTCAATATGAAGTAACCTATAAATATAAGTAGTCTTTCTATTTTGCATAAGCATTTGGGATTATTTTATAGCTTTCAAGCTCCAAAATGAGATTTTTAAACTAAACAACATACCATCAAGTAGTTTTCCGTTGAATCTTGATGACTAGTCAAAAAAAGAAAATAAAATGATGCTTTGGTTGTAGACAAATCATTAAAGCTTTCTTTCTTCACAATTAAACTTGATTGAACTTTAATTTTAGCAGTCTATCTCAATTAAATGATAAAATTCACGTCACAGGACTGAAAAAATATGATTGATATCAAGTAACAATCTTGACCAATTGTACATTTATTTACAACGAAGCTTAGATGAAAGAAACAGGCCGAGAAATTTTTAGAAAATGAAGGGGCGTGTTTCCATGCAAGCTGAATCAGCTGGTGGAAGTTGACTATAGATAATTTTATTCTACATGTATACTTTGTGGCTTGTTTCTCTTTGATTCTGACGTATTCGTGCATTAAATGGCGATCAGCCATTTATCTCAGTTAGTTTTGTGTCCGGTAAAAGAACAAAAGTAAAAGCAACCGTAAAAATGTAAATTCCATCTAATTTTAACTCCAATCCAGACTGCACGTGGGAATGATATTTTTGACAGTAAATAAGCAGTAGAGCTCAACGACACGTCTGCCATCATAGCGATTTAAATTTTGTTTCTTATTTTTGTTCTATTAAAAGGGCTAGTACTGAGTTATTTTAACTGAATCTCTTCATTTCTGCAAGTTTATTTTCAAGAATTGCATGTGTACACTTGGAATCATGACTCAACGGATTACAATTAATTCTTACAATCACTTGATAAGGTTGACGTGTTATCTTAGTAAAACTAAATGTCATAACGTATGCAATTTATATACAAACTTTTAGACACTTGTGTAAACATCAAATTTGGTGACATTCTTACAGCTGAAGATTGTGGACTGAAGATTCGGAGCATAACTATTTTTTATTCATCAGAATATTCATTTAAGTTATTGGTTGAATCATTGGACTTTAAGTGGTTAATTAGATAAAGAAGCAGCACGATGTCGGGAGGCGAAAGAAAAAAACGTGGTGGAGATAAGGGTCACGGGTGGGAAGAAGCTGGTGCTGAATTCTATCAAGAACGTTATCCTGCTGCTATTGAAGCTGATTTACAACAAGCACTTCAACGAGACCCTTCTCACATTGCTACTTTACTTCCTAGCAAAAAATCTCGTGTTGGTAAGTTGTATTACTATTTTTATTATATTTTAAAATTCAATATTGATTAATTTATTGATTATTCAATCAACAGCTCTAGAAAACCTTAGTAATTAACTTCTAATTAGGTTTTATCAATAACATTCACGTGTTGAACTAGTTTTAAATGCAATTTTTTGTTATGTCTAAGTGAAGAGTTAATAAACCAATTGAATTTGAATTTCAGCTACAGCAAAACGAATTAGAAATGAGCCAAGAACGACATTAAAACGACGAACAAGCACGCGATCACGAGGTGCTAGCACAGCTCGAAGAATGTCTACTAATATTCCAGACACAGCTGTATCAATGTTACCGGATTTATCGGAAAATTTATCGAATGAAGAGAGAACTTGGGAGGAAATAATGCAGATCAAAGCAATGCCTGTGTGTATGGCGCAAAAGATACAATTGAAAAGACAATTACAGGTATTTATAGGATACTTCTTTGATACGGAAAAATATTGAATTTCTCACTCTGAAAAATTCATAAATAACTTTGGAAAAATACAGACCACATTTTTTCAAGTTTTTATCAAGTTAAAGTTCATTATATTAAATTATTTAGTTCATTAATTAGCATTAGAATATTTCTCTATAACAAACATAAATCACTGAGTTTCTTAAGTAATAAAATTAGCTGATTAATTAATGCTTCGTTTAAAATTTTTTTAACTCAGTAAAATATTTATCCTCAATAAATGTTTAAATTAGTAAATGAATTTTGAATATTTTTTAGAGCGCCACAAAATTACGATTGCAAGGATTTGAACAGTTTAAATGGCAACGCAGAAAAGCCTGGCAAGAATTCAGCATACGAATGAAAGAAACTTATGCCAAGATGGAACTTTGGAGTACCAGTCTGAAGAAAATTGGAGGAAACTTTGGAATGGGAATAGTAGCTTATTTTTTATTCATCAAATGGCTAATGTTCCTGAATTTATTCCTCTTCATGTTTCTATTTTCATTAATCATTTTACCGTCGGTGATGTTAGTCAACCAACCAGAACCGTGTGCCGGAAATGAGACTTTTAGCGTTTCATGTTGCTCAGAAATTTATTGGAATTCATCAGAAATTACTAACAGTATATTTGGTATAATGGAGATGAGAGGTTTTTTAGAACGTACATTGTTATTTTACGGAGCTTATTCTAATGAAATTTACGGAACTGATGGTGAAGGAACGTACTACAATTTACCTCTTGCCTATATTCTTACAACAATTGCCTTCTTTCTTATCAGTTTGGTGGCGATTGTCAGATCAGCAGCAAAAGGCTTCAAAGAACGTGTCGTGGAAGGTGAAGGACAGTTTTACCAATACTGCAATTTAATTTTTGGAGGCTGGGACTTTTGTATACAAAATGAAAAATCAGCAAGTATTAAACACAAAGCATTGTATACTGAGATCAAAGCTTTTCTCGAAGCAGAAAAGCTCGAAGAAGAACGTCAGAACCGTACCCGAGAAGAGAGGATCAAATTGTTTTTTATCCGACTTTTTATAAATGTATTAGTTATATTAGTTTTAAGTTCATGTGGAGTTTTTATATACTATATAATTGACATCTCATTTGACAAAGTCAACACTGCCGTGATCGTACAATCGTCGGATTCGAGTTACATATCTTTTGAAAAAATAACTCAACTATTCTATGAATTTCTGCCGTATATTTGTATTGTAGGTCTCAATGTAATCGTTCCCTTTATATTCCGATATCTCGTAGCATGTGAACACTATAGTCCATTATTTGTAGTACGTTTGACCCTTTTGAGAATTGTCTTTTTAAGACTAGCATCATTGGGAGTGCTACTTTCAAGTTTATATCAAATCATCGTAGATAAAGTACATGATGATAAATGTACAAATCAACCTCACTGGCTATTATGCTGGGAGACATTTGTTGGCCAACAATTTTTTAAATTATATATAACTGACTTTTTGACTCAGTTTTTTGTGACTTTCTTCATTAACTTCCCTCGTTCACTTATTGCTCGTCATAGTGAGAATAAATTTTTACGATTTATTGGTGAACAAGAGTTTGACTTACCTCGACATATTTTGGACATTGTTTATTCACAAACAATTTGTTGGCTTGGAACCTTTTTTGTACCATTCTTGCCATTAATATCAGCTGTTGGCTGTTTCTTCTTATTTTATATTAAAAAATTCGCTTGCCTAGTCAATAGCACACCTTCAAGCCATGTTTACCGAGCAAGTCGTTCTAATTCTTTATTTATGTTTATCTTATTAATATCTTTTATTTTAGCTGTGATCCCTGTAGGCTATACTATTGCAGAAATTCAACCTTCAAAGTCTTGTGGACCATTTAGAGGCCTCGATACTGTATGGACTCTTATTATTGAGACATTTTCTAAATTTCCAACATGGATTCAAACCGCACTATTTTTCTGTGGTACTGCTGGTTTTGGAATTCCTGCATTTATTATGCTGTCATTATTGATATACTACTATTACGCAGTTGCTATTGCCAATAAACAAATGGTCGTGGTATTAAAGAATCAATTAGTATTAGAAGGACATGATAAACAATTTTTACTCAATCGTCTGAGTGCTTTTATTAAACAACAACAAGAGCAATCTAAGTATCATCAAGACCCATCCTTAGAACTCAGTAATTTTTCATAATTTCTTTGATGGAATTTTCAAGATATTTCGATGTATTTTAATTATTTATTTATTTATTCATGATTTATATGAATCAAAAATTTTTTCACCAAGTTCTTTCATCAATTAGGTCAGAATATTTTTTAAATGTCATAGATAATTAACCGTCTATGTTTTATTATTAAGTAGAATTTTTTCTTTTAATGACAGCTTTTAAAAATATTTAACAAGTATTAAAGAATAATTATAAAGTAGATATTAAACTTATAATAATGACATTATGTGATTTGAAATTTGGAGAAATCGGTATCGTAAAACGAAGAAAACATTTTCGAATTTAAATAGATCGAAGAAAAAAATATTTTGACACTAGATATGTAGAATTTACACATTTCATGTAAATATTTTTATTTTTATCTTAATCATGGCGTCTTCAGGTTTAAATGATAAAAAAGGTATGAACAATTAGATCAATAATTTCTAGTCAAAATTATTAATATATTATATCATAATTATTACATTATGATCATAAAAAATTACTTATTGAATATTCAAAGAAAATTTATACTCCATATATTGCTTGAACTGATATCCAATAATTATTTATAATCGAGAATTTATTTATAAAAAAATTGTATTTTCTTGATACACACGTTATTAACGCGCACTTCAAAAACTTTATAAAAGACTTTATTCTATAGTAAGATAACAGTGCAAGGTTTGATATACTAATATAAATTGTTAAATTGACATTTAATTGTTAAAATTATTTTTATTTTTAATCTATTTTACTTTGTACTATTTTTGATCTCATCTTGAAGTTGACAATTTTAATTTTTGCAAAAAATACTTTTGTACAAATTTTATAATCTTATATGGATAAAAAGTGAACGACAATTAGTTTATAATAAATATTAATTCATAAAAATAATAGTGATAAAAATTATAATTAGAAGAATAACTTTGTAGATAAATATTCAGGCCTAATTTGATTTACTGTATGGCTGAAATGAAGGTGCAAAAGTGGTTCGATAGATTTAACAGTAAAATCGCTTAAGATCTTTTATAAAATTCGGTTAATAGTGTCTAATGATGAAATATAGCATAGAGATCTATATCTAGTATTAATATGCGACAAATGCCATCCCAAAATCCCTCAAATTATTGCAAATAGATTAATTTTGCCATGAGAGAAAAAGTATGTATCAGTATTTACGATAAATAAAATATTATCACTGTAGCTTATAGCTATTATTAATTAAAAATATTTAATAAAAAGCATCATCTTACTAATAATTTTTTTCATTTAAAACATCATCTAAATGATTTTGAATCATCAACATTATACTAACTGTTAAAAAATATCAACATACCAGTGATCGTCACCATAGTTAATTTTAAAATTATTAAATAATATTACAGTGTTTATTGTCCATTTGGCAAGGCTATGATGAATTTAATTCAACGTAGTTATCTTATCTTCTGCTATTCTTCTTTTGTACTTATGCTGTCTTCTATTGGTGAGTGAAGCTGAAATGTTATTGAATACATTTTTATTTATTCTATTTAAATTGGATATGTTATTCATAGTAACTCAGAGGGAAATTTAATTAATTCAAAATAATTTTATTATAACTGCCTTTAGAATAGTTTAAACTAAAGTTTTGAAATTTTTTGAATAAAATTATCTCACATATTCCCCTCTGGTAGAACTATAAATAAAATTAGAATTAATTTATTTACTGCTTCAGCGATATCTATCCAGTCCAGTGATGCTTCAAAAGGATCATTTTTAGTTGGCAATTTGTCGTAATTCCAGAAAGTAAACTCTGTAAATGATTCCGTCGAGTTCAAATTACGTCGACTTTCAGGATTAATAGGTTTTTTTCGCTCATAAAGGACAATCCCCTTATAACCTTTGGGAACTTTTATCATCTTGCCATGTAATGGATAGCCTCTGAATGATGCATCAAAATCTACAACATAATAATTATTATAATAATAATAAATATCGATGTCATCATGATTTGGATAATAAAAAATAAATCTATAAATCACTATAAGCTTTGATTAACCTATAAAACTTACGATCATTAACAGTTGGACGAATATAAGGTGTAAAATACGTGGAGACATTTGCTGGTCCATTGCTGTGTATTTTACAAGGTATTGAATGAACAGTACTATTTTTTTCACCTTCAATATGCTCTTTTTTTATATGCAACCGCAGTGACATTTTTACTTATGATGACGAAAACAAACACTACTGATCCAGACTCAACATGTGCGTTTTCGCGCCTTTTTCTGGATGATGAGAGGAATTTAATGAACTATACTTAAAAATTCATTCTATAGGATATTCAAAAACAAATAGAAATGTGATAACATGGTCCAAATAATAAACTATCATTTGCATAAATTCATTGCTTTTTCAAATCATTTAATTCATCATTATGATTTGTTAATTGTACAAGATTATCAGGTAAATACTATTTAAATTTAAACTGCAATGTCACTGGTAATAATTTGAAATTAAAAAAAATCAGATCAAAATTAAAAATCCAAAATGCTTGAAAGTTTAAAATTCTTATGACCATATTTCTACCATAATTTATAAACTTTTTCAGCTCAAAAAATGCATTATTCAAAAATATTTTAATTCCATTCAGGATTATTAGAATTTTTTTCTACCATTCTTGATATGAGCACGCGCATTGATAAACCAATAAAAGATTTTGGCCAAGGTTAAAATAGAATAAACAATTGCAATTGGACAATTTTTCGCGCGATCACTGCAATCTGAATTTAAACATGAGTGCAAAGTCAAAATCAAATGCTTACTTCAATATTCCATCATCATTTACATTTTCATTGAAGATGAAATGATCTTGGGAGTAGTTTCGATTGAAAAGTAATGAATAATTAGTAGGGTCAACATACGTGTCCGCTTGAATTAATAGTTGAGAAAAATAAATCGATATTGAGACTGGCACGTGGGCTTTGGAAAATATCTCACTAATAGGACCGCGAGACAGCATCCGAGATGTGTAGGAGTGCGTCTGCGCTTCTCGTTGAATCCTACCTTGCTCTCTCACAGCAGGGGCGGAGTCCCCGAGCCCGGCAATATCTTCTTCTCTAGGCGCGAGGCCAGAATTTATTTGGATGCTTTCCAAATAACGCAAAACTACCAAAAAGACAACCAGATAAGCACGACTGTCGTAGAGGAAGCATTTTAAAAAATCTTTGTACATTTCGGTTTGTTCATCCTAATTCCTAGTCCAGTTCTCGCAGCTTCAAATTCGTTGAACAAACTGTAACAGGAGGATAGGAGAGTCAGTGAGAGCTTATCCGGACGTTGGTGTAGCATCGATCGAATGTGTGCTTTTGTGCTTGACTCTACCCAGCCGAACTTTGAGTCAGTGAGACCCACTTTGCGGTGATGGTGAGAGTATCGCTAATGCAGCATCTTGATGCTCGTTCGATCATCTCGCGTTCAAATAAGTCAAAAACAACAAAAACATCATCTTCAAGTACCTTACAATTGTGTTCTGATAAAATTTAACATCCTCTCTAGTGAACTCTATCATTCTTTCAATCTTTTCTAGTTTTTATAACTTTTTTCTCTGCTTTATTTGTTGAAACGTGCTCTCTGTGGTTTTCATAGTCATTCTGAAAAAATTCAATAAAATTGTTCTGTTAATCATTCAAATGGATGGACAACACAACATGGTATGTAAATTTATCTATTAAATATATTTAAAAGTATTTTATATTGGTTTTTTTTTTTTCAATGAAAAATCAGAGAGTGAAAATATATTTCTTTTTTAAAATTGCTAGCACTTTATAGAATTAAAAGCCTGAGGCAATGCATTGTATTTATGCAATATTTGAGATAATCCATTCGCGCTCCGCCTCTTTGGACCAAATGATTCGTGTGTTTCAATTCATCAAATTACTGCGTAGGAGGACCACGCGACTTTGCAACACATAATCAATGTCCGATGGTAGTGTATAGCAATAGAGGGATGATTGAAGACCCTTCGGTATTTAAAATATCATAACAATAACCCATCAATCAACAATCAAGAATCAATAAAGGAGAATAAAAAAGAAAACTTGATGAAATTTTTTTATCTCTTTTCAATGCGATGGATACTTGTGGATTTAATGAATGATAGTTAGAATTTACTACGCCCCATCATCTCAGTTTTTTTATCTAATAACTCTGACTGGCAAAGCGGAAATTACAGGATATCGGAGAAATAGTTAAAACATTTCCGATGGTGAAGGATTCTGCGGTATTAACTTCTCCCTTTATAACTTCTCACGGAAAAATCAAGAATAGGGTTATATCAAGCCCTGAATTTTCCTCGTTCATTTTCCAAGAGATTAAATGGGAAAACAAAAAACATTTACTTTTTTCCTTGAGAAGATGATAGAATAAAGTATCACGAGAGCGTGACTTAGATAAAAATAATACTTTAATAATAAAGGCTAAGTTGTATTTCTTTACTCTTTGGCTGACTGGTTGACGTTGTGACTACTGAGGGGGAGGATTAAACCGGATATTACGACTATTACCACTTCTCTTGCGGCAATCCAAGTGACTGACACCGCGAATCTCATGAATTCATGTGCAGGAAATGTAACATAATATGTCGTTTAATCGTGACACGTGTTAGTGCACATCTAAATTTGTTGCTTCAATTATTTTTATTACTAATTATTCTCTGTTGATCAAAATGTATATAGAAATATTTTAATGAGGCATACATTTAGTCATTTAAATTCCTTGAATGAGGTCGCCAAGGAAACAGGATATTCTGGAATGTGAAAACCCGACTCGACATCTCCTTTCTCAATGACGTAAAATGATCTCGATGGTTAAATGATATTCAATTCAACGCTCGATTAAAATCTTCATTTAGTTGATATATTAATCGCCCAGACGATTTCACAAGACTATTCTACACGGAGAAAAAATTCCAATAAAAATTACCGTGCTCAGCACAACAATCCACGCGCAAATGTCAATTCCCTAAAAAATTAAGACAACCTTCAAAGAAAAATTAGTAATCCTTTTAAAATTTTTATTATAGATTCAATATTTATTAAGAAGAGTAAAAGTAAAAATTCTTATGCAGCACGGTAATATTCGATAAATATTAATTTTTATTCAAACTTTAAACAAAAATTAGTAAGTGACTAGAAAAAAATGAGAATCTGTATATAATTTATTATGATCCGTGTGGTAGGAAAAATTCGGGTGCTCTCCTATAATTTTTTCTATTCTCGAGAGTTTCCGTGCTGGGTCGGGAATCTTCGAATTATCGGTCCAACACAATCTTTCTTTGTATTGTAAGACCGTTCACACAATCAAAAACATAAGCCGTAAAACGTACAATTTAAGACGTACGCGTGCATACTAACATCATAATAAGTTAAAAATTGGTTTGTACGCATGCGTACATCTTACGGCTTTTGTTTTTGATTGTGTGAACACCCTCAGTGCTATAGTTACTTTTTCCATATTGTAAACAAAGATGACATTCATATTTTTCGTTACGATTCAATATTGGCGGCAACACGTTATATCTTAACAATTTATGATAAGCTTAAACGGATTGACGCGGTGGACTCATGGGTAAGCGTCAGCTTGACACACGATGGGTCGCGGGTTCGAGTCCCGGCCGAGACAAAAGTCATTTATATGATTTTTCTCGGGCCACCGTGAGCGGGAGAAGAAGATCTCTTCGGAGAGCCGGGTGGTTGTATCGACGACACAGGTTTTCTGCGTAAGATCCCGATCGTAGGGATAGGGGGGGGCAGTATTGTAAAACGTGTGCCGTATTTCATTCCAACGAATTAATTAGTTAAGAAAGTTAATTATCAATGAACCTAATTTATTTATTTATTTGTTTATATAACCAAAAAAATTATCACTAAACTTAAATAAAATTGTTTGTCGGTTACGTAGTTATCACAGCTAACGTTACTAAATTTTCAGGTGCTGTGGAACACTAAATTTTCTGGTGCTGCCAAAGTAATTTTCAAAAAACTGAATGATACATTTTCTTATGTAACTTATAATTTTTGTATGTTGATCATTACTTTTTACTTTTCAGTAAGTTTGAACTCACATTCTTGAGCAGCACGGTAATTTTTGTATGGATTTTTAAATAAAAATTAACGGAATTTTTTCTCCGTGTAGTTTTATTATTATTCATTTATATTGCTTATTTATCAGTTGAAATGTATTTTCTATTTTTGATACACTTGTGGAGAACTCTTGAAAAATAATTACTTTGAATATCAATCAAAGTCATCGGAAAATTTTTCTTCATAAAAAATAACATTTTTTCATTATTTTAATATTGTTTTATTTTTCTGTAGTATTGTGTCAATCTAGATTTTTTTGAATTTATTTTTTCTGTATTAATAATTTCCATTTCCTCTCACACTGTATTTCTATTTGCTTTTGTTGAAAATAAACATATCAGTGTATTTGAAAATTTTCAAATAACTGTTTTAAAAAAAAAAAAAAAATGTAAAAAAACGTTTATCTCAATACTTTTATTTGCACATAGTACTAATTATTAATGCAGTAAAAAACAATATTGAATGTTTATTTTATACGATATTTAATATCACTTTCTTGATAAAAAATGTGTCAACTCTATGCAAATAACTGATGTTAGAGGGAAACTTGTAAAAACATGGATTTGTATAAATTTTCAGCATTAAGTGGGTCAATAATATTTTGAAATTCATAAAAAAAAACATAAGCAATGAAACTTAACAAATATTGTTTTAAGATTTACCCTAATAAATTTATTTAATGAGTCTATTTCATGATAGGCTTCTTGTTACATCAAAATTAATAATAAGAGGAGATTGAAAATTACATTTTTGTTTTAGATTTAGATTTTCCCCGTATTTATTGAAGTGACTGAGATGATTGAATATGAAAAAATTTCTTATGACAGTAAAATATACTACGCAATTTCCGGTACAAAATTAATCGACTTTAACAGGCTGGAAAAATGTAAACCTGTCTATTAAATGAACGGATATTAATAAAATTTGAAACCAATAGAACTGTAATTGACAATATTCCAAGATTGATTTGTAATTGCATTTGAAAATTCGATTTAACTGAAACCATTGCTGTATTTCATCTCGTTATTTTACAAAACTATTGATCTCATATAGAAATAGGACAATAGCATGACTGTGAATTTAAGATAAAGTCATTATCCCAAGCTGCTGACTTCTATTCTCTTCAGGATATAATAAATTTAATGTAAATTTGTTTCACTCTCTTCAATGGATCTATTTTAAATTAAAGATTGCAAACTATTTGCAAGCTTTAGCAACGAATGCTATCATTTATTCAATTAATCTTTCTAAAGTATATGTATATATGTTTAGTTATAATAGTCATTTATTCACAGAAACCCACGATTCAATACGAGGAAACGATTCAATTGATTCTTTATATTACTTCTGATGAATGAAGCAGTAAAGTAAATGAGAACAAACAACACTTGGCACATTATTTCACCCAGGAGTATTCACTCTATGGTGTACGTCGTTCTTAACGCCTACTCATGAAACGTAAACCATGCCTCATCGAGATTAACTCCCTTTGGGATACATAAAACTAACTAGATTATATACTTTGGAGTTATGATCATCTTCAATTCTTCAATTACTACAAATTCCATCACAAGCGATCCACCCAGGTGTCGCAGAAGACGTGAACCCATTAAGAAAGAAAGCTACTTTATACTTAAACTTCTCTTCACGCTTTACTGCATTGCTGGAGGCTACTGTGAACCTCGAAGGGGTACCAAAGAGTTGCTCCAGGCTGCTCTTGCAGAAGATAGAGTACCACTACCATTCTTCGGACATTGTGACTTTGAAGAATCATGTAGATCTTGGAATTATACTGATAACTTTAAAATTATCTCTAGCAGACGTCCTAGTGATTTTGCTACTGGCCGCTTTTTGTACTTGGAAGGTCCTAATGTAGGACAGATATGGTCCATCATAATACCACCAACTGGATCCCAATGTTTTCTCAAATTTACTACTCGCCAGATCTCCATGAGACAAGGAATCATTCGGCTTATTATCTTCACCAATAACAGCACGACTTCTGTTGCCTTGGAACGTCCTGGAAATAATGATGCCAAGTTAGTATGATGCTTAGCTTATTTTTAGAATATTTATGAGTTGCATTCAATAGCGTTGGATATTAAAAATTCCTTAACTTCTTTCTAACATTTTCAGTCAATTTATGAAATATTTTTCTATTCAATGTTTTTATTCAATTCAAACTTCAAATTAATTATGACATTCATTTTTATTCAGTTTTTTAATTTATTCTAGGATTTTACGATAAAAAGAAAAGGCAAAGGAAAAAAAATTAATTGTTCAAAAAATATTCTTTTATAATGAAAAAAAAAAATACTTTACTAGGATTAAACTTTTTTTCTGAAGTAATGATGATATTTTATTTTCTCTTGCTGTTGCTATGAAATTTTGAATAGAAAGAATTTACTTTCATGTTTTTATTCTATATTAGATGGAATATTACGGAACTCAAGCTTGGAGCTATCAGCCAATCATATCAAGTAGGTTTGGAGATAGTAGTACCTATTAATGGTAGCATTGCTATCGATAACATTCGATTGGATGATTGCTTTCCAGGTAATTTTCTTATCTTATTATCACTATGTAAATTAGTATCAATAACACTTGATTTTTTCAGAATCAAGACCATATAATGTTCACGATAAATGCACCCCAGATATGTTTCACTGTAGGAATGGCTCTTGCATTAATAAAACAAGGATTTGTGACTTGACACCAGACTGTTCTGAAGGGGAAGATGAAATGCTTGAGTGTGGTATGTTTTATTGAATTTTACAGATAAATCACAATAATAAAACTATAAATAGATTATTATTATGAGTGTTATAGAAAAAGTGTATGAAAATAAATGATTTCAAGTGAAATTTGTCATTTCAGACAAAATGCCTGAAACTGCTAGATGTAATTTTGAAAGGGGATGGTGTGGTTGGACCAATGCTCCAAATAAAACTCTTAAATGGATACTTCATCATGGTTCTACTCCAACTGAGAGAACTGGTCCAAGTTATGATCATACTTATCGAAATGAAACTGGTATATATCTATCTAAAGTTAATTATATTAATTACCAAACTTATTTCTCTATCGATTTTACTTGTTGGTTCATTTATTTATAACTACTATTTATTCACCTCAAAAGTTATTTAATGATGTTATTGATTAATTTAGTCATTCATTTTCTAGTTTATTATCTTGACTAGAAGATGTTACGGATTCAAGCTATGAATTATTTATTTTAGGTACTTATGCATTCGTAAATTCTTCGAGAGCTCATGGATTAGGGGAAAGCGCAACATTGAATAGTCCTATCTTTAACCCAACACCACCCTACAGTGCTGATAGTGAAAGTCCTTACTTTCAGTCATGTCAAGTGCGATTTTTCTTTCATCAGTACGGAAAATATAGTGGATCCCTCGGTCTCTATCTGATTGAAATGAAACCCCACCAAAATTACTCTCGTAGATTGTGGTGGAGTTATGGTGATCGTAATGATATTTGGTATAACCAAGTTGTCGCACTGCCTGATACACGATACCGGTAAGTTTTTTCCGTATTATTATTTATTCCAATTCTTTTCTTAAATTTAATTTCTATGAGAAAAAAATTTAATTCAGCATCTAATTGATGCTAATTGAATAAAGTAATTCTTTATCATTACTTGTATTGGAATTTTTATATTCTCAATTAACCTTTCCAATAAAGTCACAACTTGGCAAGATTTTAAAGTAAAAACTTTTCCATCGAAGAGAAAATAATTTCTTATTAAACTTACTGAAAACATTTAATTGAATTACCGTTGTTGTGACATTTTAGATATTTTCTGCAATTTGAATCGAGCAAAAGTTATGCTTCAATTGGAGATGTCGCGATTGATGATTTTTCATTAAGTCCAGAGTGTTTTGGAATAGGTAAGATGTATAAGATAAGCTTAATTGACGTGATATAAAACAAAGATTTAAAATAAAATCTATTTTTGTTTTTATGAATATAGGAGTACCGCCGGAAGTGGTTGGAGACTTTAATTATTACAGTCCTATAATTGAATCTGAGCATCCAAGTGAACAGCACTATGATTTTGTGAATGAAACAGGTATTCTTGCATAAATATCTACTTCTATTTTTAGCATTTACTGATGTCATTATATTTACTTGTGTTTCAGTCATAAGAATAACAACTTGTGGCGCGACTGGTCGGTATGGTCCTACGCCGAAACAATGTGCACGCGAATATAATAAAACAGAAGCGCAAATAGAAATTTTATCATCACCCTCTTCGAATAATGGAACTGTGAATTATGAAGATTCTATAAATTTCCTGAACCATGGTTTTCAAAAATGGACTGCACCAAGTGGTGGTTACTACACCTTGATAGCAGCAGGAGCAAGAGGAGGAAGAGGTTCAGGTGGGATGGGAAGTACTCTCGGAGCTCTAGTCCGTGGAGTAATCGAGTTAGAAAAGGGTCAGAGCCTTTATTTTCTTGTTGGTCAGCCAGGAACGGATGCATGTACAAAAAGCTTAGGCAGATCAAATAACCCATGTGGAAAAATCGTATCCAATAGCAATGAATCTCCAATTTCCGGTATGACATCTATCATACGTGAGGTGAAAAACATTGAGATGACTAATGGAGGTGGTGGTGGCGGTGGAGCAACATATATATTCATAAAAACGTCAACAGGAGAATTGGAGCCGTTGATGATAGCAGCAGGTGGTGGTGGACTGGGATTTGGACAATTTGTCGATGATGGAATACAACACGGTCATGGACCCTACGTAGAAAAAAATCATACCCCATTAGGACTAACTCCGAGGGAAAAGTCTGGTGGAGGAGGTGGTGGGTGGAATAGTTCGTCGACACACGACTTGAGGTCAAAGTCGATAGGACTTTCATTGATAAAAGGAGGCGTGGGTGGTGTAGGATGTCACAAAAAAAATCAGACACATGGAGACGGTGGATTCGGTGGCGGGGGAGGAGGTTGTAGAACTGGCGGAGGTGGTGGAGGGTACTATGGAGGTACAACAGGAGTAAAAAGTTCTGGGAATGGAGAAGGAGGATACTCTTTCATTTCTTCTGACCTTTTACACTCTTATTTCCGACCTGGTTATCATCCTGGACCAGGTGAAGTTTTTATCATCCCAGCCATCAGCGGATGTGGCTGTGACTTTCGCTGTGTTGCAGTTGATCAGCATTTGAGTGAAACCAGGTGTCTCTGCCCACTTGGCTGGCAACTTGATAATGATTCCAGGTCATGCTTACCTGATGAAGTGGATCGGACTCATCAAACTATTACAATTTTATTAATCGTTGTATTTATTACAATGATGGGTGCTCTTTCTTTTCTATGTTTCATTCTATATAATCGATATCAAAGTAAAAAGGCCTTATCCAGGCGCCGCCGAGATATGTTTGGCAACGGAACTGAACTCCATCCATTACCAGCGAGTATAATGACGGAGTTTAATCCAAATTACGAATTTGCAGGCAACTTGTATAGTATTAAAGACCTGCCACAGATACCTCGAGATTCAATTACTTGTGTCAAGCCGTTAGGTCAAGGAGCTTTTGGTGAGGTATTTCAGGGAATTTATAAATTTGCTTGTAATGAAGAAACACCCATTGCTGTCAAAACGTTACCAGCTGTTACAACCCCTCAAGCAGCAGCTGATTTCATGATGGAAGCTCTCATCATGAGTAAATTTGATCATGCTAATATTGTAAAATTTATTGGAATATCGTTTGATAAGAATCCAAGATATATTGTGTTGGAGTTGTTAGCGGGTGGAGACTTGAAGAACTTTTTACGTGAAGAAAGACCAAAACCAGTAAGTTTTAAAATTAAAAAATATACTAATCATTCAATTAATTTACTCCAAAAAATTTAATTTCAAGTCACAAATTATAATTCATTTATTGACTATTCATTAAAATAACCAATAAAATACTCGACTCAAATTTAAAATTAATTTAATCAATAAAGATATTTTTAATTAATAAATTATTAGAGCTTGAGTAATAATGAAAAATAAATTTATCGAAATTTCAGGACCGGCCTACTAATTTATCAATGCGAGATTTAATAGTTTGTGCTCATGATGTAGCGAAGGGATGTAAATACATGGAAGATGCTCGTTTTATTCATCGAGATATCGCAGCGCGAAACTGTCTCTTGACATGTAAAGGACCTGGAAGGGTTGTCAAGATTGCAGACTTTGGAATGGCAAGAGACATATATCGAAGTGATTATTACAGAAAGGGGGGTAAAGCAATGTTACCTATCAAGTGGATGCCTCCAGAGAGTTTCTTGGATGGAATTTTCAGTACAAAGACTGATGTGTGGTATGTAGTCTCCATGCTTTATTAATAAAACTTATAAATATGCAATCTTAATTTATCAGGAGTTTGAGTAATGTCTAGGTATGTATATTTACAGGGCGTTTGGGGTACTCCTCTGGGAAATCATGTCATTTGGTTACATGCCATATACAGGATGTGCTAACAGAGAAGTCATGTCAATGGTAACGACAGGAGGACGTTTGGAGAAGCCTGCAGGGTGCCCTGATCCAATTTATGGAATTATGACTCGATGTTGGCATCCTAGGCCTGAAGACAGACCGAGCTTTGCGACGATCGTTGAAAGACTAGGCTATTGTCTTCAAGATCCTGATGTTATTAATCATCCGATGCCTAATTATGACCTCTTACCAGACTGTGAAAGAGAAATCACAATCATGCGGCCAGATCCGGAGACTGAATGCATAAATGTTAACACTGATGTAAGTAGTTAGAATAAAATCATTTAGCTTTACTCTCTTTTCAAATAGTTTTTTTACTTATCTGTTACAAATGTCTGTTTTAACAATTTTAACATAGGAAAAATTGACTAACCAATTATTTCATTGCTGAAACTAATCATCTGGGTAATGGTAATATGTAGTTCTTGGTAAAGATCAATAGAAAATGAAGCATTTTTATTTAAATTTTTGCTAGGTATAGGCAATGAAGACTGGCAGGTTAAAAGAAAAGGTAGATTGAGATTACTCAGGTTTTACATGATTTCTGCACAGCTGGACGGATGTGGATATATGCAACCTCGTACAAACTTTCGACCAGGAGCTTACAAACTGGGTGTTGTTCCTGGAGTTGTATACGCCTCTCTGCGCCATAATGATGATTTTGAAGGTGAAATTATTCAGGAAACTACTCTAATACATCCGAAGGAAACTGAAACTAAGTCGGAGAATATTGGAATACAGAAAAATATTGAAAATCATTCTTCAAATATTTATAACAACAATGAGGTATGAATATTACCATGTAATAGTCTCATAGATATTTCAAAAATTAATCCTCACTCTGAAATTCCGATAAGTCATTAATATCAATTACATTCAATTTGATATAATTGAATTTCGCAAAAAATATAGAAGCTTCAAAAATTAATAAACTTATTATCTGAGATAACATAATTATTATCGTATTAATTTTTCAAACAATTATTATAATAATTAAATTAAACTTGAAGATGTAATTAAAAGATAGATATAGCTATAATAACTGCTTGTATTTATTTAGGAAATTATTAAGCAGCCGTTCAATGACGACAAAAAACACAATGAGGATACAAAGCCTATACAGAATGACAAAGAACACAGTGATGATCTCAAGATAGAAAAAAATCAACGAAATGGAAATGAAGAAAGCACTACAACTACCGACACCAACTCTGACTCACTTGTAAATGCTTCTTCAACGTCACCTTCAGATACTACTATATCTTCACCTAAAACACGAACATCCTCACCTAGTCGTACAGTCGTAAATTCTAACAATGCTAATGTAAATGGTATTATAAAAAAGAATGCACTAAAAGCTGCATTGAGCTTAGATCCTAGTACGCTTTATCGTGGTACAATTCCATATGAAAAGATTGCTTTTTCCCCACCTCTACCACGTCTAAGTAAACCTGGGAGCATGGAATTGAGAAAAGTAAGTCACTTTTATGCACAGAACTTGTAATAGATATTGGAAAAAATTCGAAGTGATAATGAAAGAAAAAAAATTCGCTGATAAATTCTGTTCGTGCCTATTAAAAGTTGATCATTTTTAACAATTCATATTTATATTATTTGTTCTGACGAGTCTTTATATAACCAGTAAATTGGACAAAAAATATTTTTAGAAGTGCAAATTGAATTTTCGTGTCTTTTATCTCTGCTCTGAAACGAATTCTAGGATTCTTATTTATTTTACTGAAAAAAACCCGACTATCATAATTCATGTTTTTTTTCAATATCTCTGAGCTATTCATTTTATTTCTCATCAAAGTTATTTATAAACCTCTGAGAAAAAATTAATCATCTACTAAAGATGTATATTTTTTTCACTACCAGGACTCTTTAGGACATGAATTACCAAGAGAAGAAGAGTGTTCTTGCTGAGATTCATTAAATGGGGACTGACGAAAACTTTCCCCCAGCCATAATTATAAGAAACCTTTAAAAAGATCAGTAACAATGCCATCAATAAGACTTCAATGCTATGATGAGCCAGATAACATCACAAGGCATTCATCAGAGGAAACGCTCATTTAATAATTAAATTTAAAAGAGGAAAAAAAACTTAATAATATAAACCACAAAGCACGAAAATCATTTGATAATTTTGAAGTCTCAATTTTTTACTTGGATTTTTCCTTACTAAAAAAAACCTATTCATTGATAATTACACGAAAAAAATAAAGCGTCCAATTTTTTATGCTGAAATAAGCATTAATACATTAACATCGAGTAAATTAATAAATGTCAAATAAAATATTTGACGTAGTTTATTAAAATAAATGTTAATTATTCCATAGATGGGATATTATTCATAATTGTATGACTAAATTAAAGAAAGAAAACATTCGACGAATTTAATAATCAATGAGTAATTAAGTTAATGAAAAAATAAGGTATAAAATAACTGATTTAACTTTAAAAAAATTATAATCGATAATTTAATTAGTATTGATTATTTATTTATGTTTGTTAATATTCCGCTGTGCAAAAGATTTACTGTTAGTTTATTAGCATCTATATGAAATGTAATTTGTAAGCCAAACCCTTTAGTAAAATTTTACGTAAATATTCCATGACTCGAAATAATAATAATAATAATAATAATAATAATAATAAATAGTAGATATATATATATCTAAATCGTTAAGTGGATAACACGTTTGAATTATATTACATTATTACGATATAATTAATACTTGTTATACAATATGTTTGATTTTGATAATTGTTACTTATTCATTGCATTCGTTATCATTTATTTTGTGTAATAAATGGGATTAACGGGGTAATATTTAATGGTCGTTATGATGTCGACTTCAAAGCTTTAAAAAGAAAAGTAGTAGTGTCTTTTCTTACAAATAAAGAATTGATTATAAAAAAAAAATAATAATGAATATGAATAAAATATAAATAAGCACCGTTGATTGATTATATATGGAATATCTAATAATTATCGTAATGTATTTGTAAAAAAAATTCATGTATATTCAGTATTTATTAATTATAAGTATTAGTTATTGATAATTTATAAAGTCTGGAAAACGCTCATTTAATGCTTTTTATCAGAAGTTTGGTAATGGTCAATGTTGTTAAAGATTTTTTAACTTTAATTAATAATGATAGTTGGATTTTGTCAATCATATATATTTTATTGGAACCAAAGGTTTTACTATTTTAAATCTCTTAGCAACCTTTGACCATTGCTAATAAAGAAAAAAAAACATTTAAATTTTTGTATCGACTAAGAAACTATAAATGAATCTCTACTGAGAATAAACTGAAAGAATGGAATTGTGAGATGATTAAAAAGAAGCAAAGTATTATTAAAATTGATCACTATTAACACTGTCACTAAATATAAAATTGAAATAATCAATTGTATTATCAAGTACTGAGTTTTGTTGTGATAATTGACATTAAATTTCATTATGTGGCAGTTAAATAATTAAATGAGTTAATTGTGACTCAGTTTCCGCTTCTATGAATACTTTGGAATGAATTAACTTTAAATAATTCTGATTAGATTTGTCCATTCTCAACTGTTTGTTGAAGCAATCATGATCTTTAGCAAATAATTATCAGTTGCCTTGAATCAGTGATTAATAGCAGCTATTACAGATACAGCTACGACTTTTTGTAACATATGGCCTCAAGCACAAGAAATTGTAAACTGAAATAGCTCTGCAATTGAAACTCTGTAATATATATTAATGACGCTGAGTGTTCTGGTCTTTTGCAGGATCTTTGCCCGACGACAGAGATTATTTTTGACTCTCTATCTATTGTTCCGCTTTCGATGTTTGTATAAATACTTTGAAAATCTTGATAAGAAGTATATTCTTAGTAAATTTGGATTTTTGGGTAAATTTATTGCTATTGATGAATGCAATATGTTTAAAATTAATGAGTATTTGTACCAAAATCAATACGGATTTTATTACAATTATTTGCTCAATAATAATGAATAATTTAAGTATTTATATATGTGGATGTGGTCCAGTCGAGAGAAAACAATAACTGGTAAATAAATATTTTGTTTCATAAAATTCTTTTAAATTAAATTAATTGGTTAAAAATGTCAATTAATTATGACAACGGATTGTGATTAAAAACATATTTTAAGATAAAATTATTTATTTAATAAAATCAATACTTTAATTTTCTAGTTTTCTATTCGACTAGACTGTTTGCATAATATTGCCTACTGAATAAATTACTAAAGAAAGAAGATAAATAATATTATGATAAGAAATATCTAAAGTAGAATAAGTATATTTTTTTGAGGTCAAGATCTATATAAAAATGGCAAAATTATGTTAATTGCATTTTTATTAGATATTTATTATTTTCATTGTCTTTATGTTAACTTGATTTTGATAAAGATAATGATAAAGCAAACTAATCCAATCGTACTTGAGACTGGTGCTCTGATTGGGTATAATTCGAATTAAATTCTGTAAATAATGAGTGAGATATAACAAATAAATATTTAAATATTAATACACAACATATTCATACAGTAGAATATATTGGTGTATAATAGGTAAATAAATATAAATATATTGATAATATCCAACCAAGTCGGTATTGTTTTGAAATTTTAAAATGACAAATTTTTAAAGCTAATATGGAATATAACACTTTGTGACCCAAAATGAATGAAACGAAATACGGTACAATTTTTTATTCCACCTTATAATACTTATATAGATATATTTAATAAAAATTTTGTCATATTATTGTGTTATAAGGAAAAATTTTATAATGAGAATTAACTCACAATATGTGTGATAGTACACAATTACCATAAGTTAGCAAACAGCATTTTATTATCAGGAAATGCGTGTATTTTTCTTTCTCTCATTTTTTTTTTATTTAACAAAATATTTTCATAAATAGGTCATTGGTACTCAATGTGAAATAAAAGAATATGTAATAAAAAAAATGTATACAAAAAAACTTCAAACTCTGTTATTTGCTGTTCCAAGTGTTTCCATTTAATCATTATTGAGTGCATCCTTCAAAATAAACGGCAATATTTTCCGCTACTTTTTACTGGTATGAAGTTTCAAACAAATTGAGTACTTGTTGCAATTTGTATTTACAGTAGTCCATACAGGATTAAACAAGCTTTCTAACTGATTTATCTTTTTTTCACATATCAAAGGAGTTGGAATTTTTTCATCTAATCTAGTTACTGGTATTATTTTAAGTGGTATTACGAGTAAATTAGTACCAATAGGTACCAAGTTTACAACATAGTATTGATCCTTCTAAATATAATGAATATTACATTCATTAGTTTCTAATAAAATAAAGTGGTGTAGCTTGACATACTAATATTACGGAAATTATTAACTCAATTACAACTTCAACTAGAAAGTTACTGTAATCTTCAGTATTTTTAATCAAACTTAGATCAGACATAATTTAAAAGTTCCTAAATTAACTGGTACAATTCACTTGAAATTTCTACTTTAATTTTATAACAAACAGATAGTTCTTTAAATCAATTCGTATTTTGTGATGTCATGCAAATAGATCGGATCAATTAATCTATTCACTATGACTAAATCAATATCTTTCTTCAACAAGTATTCCACATGATTCATATTAAAACCACGTAACGATTCATTATTCTGTGAATCAGTTAATCTAGCTAATCCATAAATAAATAAATTCTTCAAAATCTTTTGATACCAATTTAATCTGCCTAATTAAAGAAGACACCTGTCCATCAAATTTCATTACTAGGACGCTCTCAAGACAATGCAAAGAGTACATATGCTGATGTATATAATGTTATTGTGAGCCAGCTAAATATATATAAAAGTATAAAGCTGCTTAGCAGAAGGGGTTGGCGGCTTCTTTACCCGCTACGATTTGAGTGTAGTTTCCGTCTGGTTACCACATGTTTATACTGTCTGTACGAGACTTCTAATAAAGCCGACGTGATGCCGAATTATTCATATTTTTACGTTAGAGCTGTTTCAGATGATGATGGAAAAGTTAAGACAGAAAAATTTCTAAAAGGGTAAATTGAAATAATCAATCAGTTGGATTCTTAGTGAAAAGTGGTAGTGATTGGAGTTTTCTTGGTTTAATTAGAAATCCAGAATTACTTGGACTTCCGCAAGGTGTTTGGAACACCCTCGGTCGGTACAACTTGCTATCAAGACATCTTCGAGGAGGTCTTTCAGGTTCTGGAGACGTTTTGCATCCTGCATATGCAACATTTAAGGTTTGAATTTCAAACAAATTATACGAGTTAAGATGTGAGGATGCATGAATGAACGACCGCAAAAGATGTTTTTAAAGTAAATAAAAAGAAAAAAATCCAATTCTATGGCTTTTTTACAAATTTTTTGGAATAAAGCCAAATCTTTACGTTAAACAAGCCCGGATTACTGTCTCATATTTTTAGTTGAGCTATTTTGAAATACATTTCATGTTTTACTTCCCCAAAACCATCACTGGACTACCCAAACAAAAAATGCATCGCTGTGCATTTGAAGTTTCACTGCTTACCCAATGTCAAGATTATTTTTGACGTTGTTGTCAATCATTGGTAAATACACGCAACGATAAAAGACAAGTTAAATAAAATAAAGTGACAAGTTCGTTAAACTAAACTTCTATTTGTTTTGACACTAAAATTTATTATTGGCATTTATACTATTATGACATGGAGCTTAATCTATCGACAGATAAATTGTAAGGAAACTCGAGAACATTTATTGTTACGTATTACGTAAAGGTCATTGAAAAATTACATCCAATTATGTGACAAGGGCGCCGGTTTTACTTATCACAATTTACACGTTAATAAATACTTGAATGTTGTCTAAAATTATAGAAATTTTTTAAAAACATTTTTAACAATCACATATTCATATGACATGTGACAGTCACTTTTATAATTAGCTACAATATATATTTAATTAATTTTCCTATTTTTATCATTCAAAAAAAATTTAATAAATGATAACAAATAATAACAGATGTTCCTAAAGTAATATCTAGCTATAAAAATTTTTTTGCGTGCATAAAATGACATGACACTGAATAAAAACCATCTGTTAACTTTTTTCCAACATTCATTGCACATTTTTTAGTGTGTGCATTTTTTAGGACGTTCGCAAAATGTGTTTAAATGCTTTCTCAAGTCATTTATAATAAATAACCAAAATAAAATGGGTTCAAATACCTTGGTTATTATCAAGAATATTAGGAGTGATAACATGTGACATATGTTTGAATCGATTTAATTTGTAACGCGACGCAAACGCATAGAGTATTACAGTAGTTTACGTACCCAAATGACAATAAATCTTATCTCTTTTATGGATTGAAATCATGGTTGAAAATAATAATCCAGCCTTCTTTTTGTTATGGTTTATTTTTATGTTTTTGGATCTGTTTGAGTCATCAGTTTATGATTGCCTTTTTTTTAAAGTGGTGCAATGACAGAGGCTGTTCGCTCCAATATCCGCAGTACACCACGAACTGTCAGACCAGTAGCGTAATATTTAGTTTTCTTACTTTTATTAAATAGTCAACTTAATTACTGATCAAATAATCATATGTTTACTTGGTGAATTCAATAACAGAGTTTGAGTGTTAATATTGAATTCAATGAAAAGGTAACTCTCTAATTGAGTTTTCCATATCTCAAATCATCTTTATTTATATTTCACGTGGCTGCTACATGTGCAATTATTCTTATAATACCAAAGAATTGTAAAATTAGTTGGCTAAATTATTTAGAAGTTGATGAATCACCAAGTATTGACATACAGAGAGAACTGAAAAGTGATCTAGAAAAGGTCAGACAACATTGATGATAACAATTGTGATTATCAACGCTTAGCACTAAGTTATTTGAAAGTAAAAATAATAATAAACATGAGCAATAGTTATGGATGGAACATGAATGTTATTGCTGAACCAGAGTTCATTCAGAAAAAGGTTGAAAAAGCTGAAGTAAGTAAAATATGGTTATTAATTTTAACATGGATGTAAAGTAACTTGATTTTTATGAAACATTTTCAATAAAAACTGTTTAGAGGTTGATAAAAACATAACTTTAATAACATCCTTTGAAGGAAATTACTAACTGAGATGGAATCTAGATGACATGTTGAAGATTTACAAAGAGATTTTTAATTATTTTAAAATAATTTTTACTAAAAGCATGTTGTTAATAAATGTGATGAAAGTAATTGATGCAATGCTATCATATCTATCAAAGTACCCAATTAATATTAGAGTCACTTTGTCATCTGAGTTTAACATTTGCAAACTTTTCTATCAAACTCATGCAACACACATCATTAATTTCGAGTCTGGTCACGCTCTGATGCATTTACACTGCCATAATTTTAGCTGTCACATAATAAACACAAAAATAGTTGCAAATAACGATATTCTAGTGTGCTTTTATATCAATTGTTCAGCTCAATATGCTATAAGGGACTTCAATAACCGACCGATCTTTATTGTTACATACTTTTCTAAGGAAATCAATTCTACGATGAAATATTGAATGTGTTGTGACTAACAATATACAGAAAGCTATTTCCTTGAATAGATGAGGAAATAGCCTTGCTCTATGCAGCAATTTCGAAATAAAAAATTAGATTTTATTTTTGATACTTTGAACTGTATTTTTTAAGGTCAGACCTGAATCACTGTAATTGAAAATTCTTAAAGTGTTGAAATTAATTAAGAATTAAATTAAAAAATGACTCAATATACATCACATAAAAATTTTTAGATTTGAAAAAATTTATATTTCTATTTTTATTAGTATTTAAGTTGTTTTTAACTATTTGAAATGGTTAATCTCCTTGGAAAACAAATAAAAAATATTTACTATCAATTTTTAAACTTTTCATACACTTTAATTCTTTAAACATTTATTTTTCAGTAAATAATAAATTTTGGAGTTATTTCCTTTAACTCGATGAATATAAATATTTTTTTTTAATAGCAATTATTCTGCTCAGACACTATTGTATTGCTTATTATACTATCAATTGCATTCAAAAGGTAATTGAAATAATAAAGATGAGTCGTTGACCATCGTTATATTCCTCTCCCATTATTCTGATGAAATCAGATAGGTGAAGTCAGCCTGGAGTTAACGGGAAAAATACCTGCTATACGAATCAGTTGCTATTCGACGCAATTTACTTTGAATAACGTTGTAACGTTTGTTCATTGAGAATTGTGGTTCATTTTAACGTGTACATCTCTTACTTTTGACACTTAAAAAATAATCACAACAGTGTTTACGTTATTAAGAGTTGTAAATTGTACTGTAAAATATTAATAAATAGATATGGGTGATGGATATTATGGAAATTATCCACAATCTTGTGGTTATGGTTGGAACATCCAATCTAATGAGCCAACTGAGCCTGGGAATGACGTATTTGTAAAAAAAGTTTGCGAAGTTAAACGAGTATTACCATCTCTCAGCAATATTAAAGTGGTATGCCACATTATTGACACATCAAACACAAATTTAAACACCTGATATCGCTTTCTCCTAATCCTGGATGTGTCACATGCATGCACTGATAATAATTGTTGAGATAGTCTGCAATTTCATATCTATTTCACCAATGACATTATTTGCTCAATAGAATTTCAGTTTAAATTAATTAATTATTCATGACATTTAACAAAAACATTGATAATTCAGTAAAATATTTATTTTAGAAATAGTAGAGCCATCCTAACCTCAAACATAACATGTCAAAGTGTCAGATGCTTATACTGTATGATTGTAGAGTTTTGATATCCAATATTTTGGATTCTTCATGATGTAAATATAATAAAATATGGCTTATTTAATTATTTATTTAGAAAATGAAATGAATTATTCTAAAAATTGAAACTCATTTAAATAAATAGATCAAAAAAATGATTAGAAAATCCAACTCAAGTTGATAAATATTTTCTTTTGAATTTTTAATGAGATTTACTCCATAAATAAACCAAACATTGAATAGCACTCGTTTTCAATTGATTGACTTATCATTAAAATTGTAGTATTTCAGAAAAGCATAATGGATAATATTTTTCTGAATGAAATCAATGGGTATAAATGTCTATTTATCATTAAACTTTTTCACTTTTAATAAATGTCATTATTCATGTACTTAACTTTATTACTTTATACCTAAAACTACTTGTAGTTATTTAATTCAGTTAATAAATTGATGATAATTACCATTAAGAGTACTTTTTCATTAAACTCACGTGCTATCGTATTTACTAGCTCATCATTCATGTCACTCACTACATTTTTATTTAACTTTGTCACAATGAATTTCATAAATAAACCATTTACTGTTAATTAAACTCGTAAAATAGGGTCAATAGCAACTGTGGTCAGTTATGCTTTATTCTGTTATCAAGAAAGTACATTTCCTGTGAAGATAAACAGCCATAACATAACTAAACATACTCTGCAGTATATATTTGGCCTTTGTTCCGACTAGTAGATTTTTAAATTTGTTTGACGATTGACAATCTTTGTCAATGTTAGTTCAACAATTAATATGTATAGCCAAGATTTGCGTAAAGTAAAACATTATTTACAAAGTGAAGTTGCTGTTAAAAGCTTAGAAAGAAATTCACCAATTCAATTGGATGATATTTCACTAAATTCATTGTCTTCATTCAGCAAGTTATCAATGTCTTCTATGGATAAAACGATTGTAGAAACTCCTTCAACAAAAAAAATCCTCACTTATTCTGATACACCGATTCGTTCAACGAAAAATTACGTTGGAAAATCTGTTTACAATGTAAAGAAGAAAGTTTTGAAATCCTCTAATCGTTGGTGTAGTATTTGAAGAATAATTTAAGCTTATAACTATTTACTCATAATAAAGAATAGCTCTTTTCAACAACTTTTGAATAAAAGGATATTGGTGATTTTAATTAGTTTCAAACTTTAACAGAACTAGAACTTTAATTACTAAGTTCTTTATGAAGATGATTTCCAAGTTAACCTTCATTCAAGTCTTTTTTATTCATTTCTAGTTCGAGTTACTCTAAGGAACTTGATAAAATTGTTATGGCATTATTGTTTGATAAAAGTATTTTTACAGCTTGGGGAAAGAGGATCTGGTATACGAACTCGTGGGGCAGTACAAGACTTTCAACAACTACGACAAGAATGTCTTTCACAGGGAACTTTATTCGAGGATCCAGAATTCCCTGCGGTAGATTCTTCTTTATATTTTTCGAGAAGACCTGACAGATACATTGAATGGAAAAGACCAATGGTAATAGCTTTTTGAATTTACAATGCCAACAATTTGAAATCAATTTTTCCATTTTAAAATTTCACCTCATACCTTCGGAATTTATTGGTTTCCATAAAAATCAACAAATTAATTCAATCATGCAACTGTTCATATTTGATATATTTTTTTAGGAAATAGCTGATGATCCTCAGCTGTTTGTTGAAGGATATTCAAGATTTGATGTTCAACAAGGAGAACTAGGAGATTGTTGGTTGTTGGCAGCAGTAGCAAATCTAACAATGTATCCACAGTTGTTTTTCCAAGTAGTACCTGAAGATCAGAGTTTCGGAGAAGATTACGCTGGGATATTTCACTTTAGGTGAGTCTATTCATCAAAATTAATCAAGCGTACGCCTAAACAAACATCTAAATATAAGCTCAAATAAAAAACAATGTGTAAACACACCATTTTTCACTTGAAAATTTATTTTTAGATTCTGGCAATATGGACGATGGGTAGACGTAGTGATTGACGATCGTTTGCCAACATACCACGGTCAGTTGATGTACTTACACTCAGCAGAGAATAATGAGTTCTGGAGTGCTTTATTGGAAAAAGCATACGCGAAGCTTCATGGCTCTTACGAGGCTTTGAAAGGAGGTACCACCTGTGAAGCAATGGAAGACTTTACTGGTGGAGTAACGGAAATGTATCAAATGGATGAGACCCCACCGAATCTATTTCACATTCTCTTGAAAGCTCACGAACGAAATTCTATGTTGGGTTGTTCTATTGAACCAGATCCTAACGTGCTTGAAGCAGAAACTCCTCAAGGGCTTATTCGAGGACATGCTTACAGTATTACTCGTGTCCAGTATGTTGATATCGCTACGCCCAACACTTCCGGAAAGATTCCACTTTTAAGATTGAGAAATCCATGGGGAAATGAAGCTGAATGGAATGGACCTTGGAGTGACGGATCTCCAGAGTGGAGATTTATTCCAGATCATGAAAAAGAAAAATTAGGATTGACATTTGATATTGATGGAGAGTTTTGGATGTCTTTCCAAGACTTTAAAACATATTTTACAAGTTTAGAAATTTGTAATTTAAACCCTGACTCTTTGACGGAAGATGATCTAAACTCTGGTAAAAAAAAATGGGAGATGAGTGTTTTTGAAGGAGAATGGGTTCGTGGTGTTACCGCTGGGGGTTGTAGAAATTTCTTAGAAACATTCTGGCATAATCCACAATACCGAATAACTCTAGAAATTCCTGATGAAGATGATGATAAGTGTACAGTTATTGTAGCCTTGATGCAGAAAAATAGACGAGCACAAAAGAGTATGGGCGCAGACTGTTTGACTATTGGATTTGCTATTTATCATCTCGATTATCCTGATCGTTTGCCAAAACCTCTAGACATTAATTTCTTCAAATATAATGCATCTGTTGCAAGGTCTCCATCATTTATTAATTTAAGAGAAGTTAGCTGTCGTTTTAAACTACCTCCTGGAACTTATTGCATTGTACCTAGTACCTTTGATCCTAATGAAGAAGGCGAATTTTTGTTACGAATATTCTCTGAGACTAAAAATAACATGGAGTAAGTTACATAATTATAATAATCACTCTACTTAAAATTCTTTCAGAAAAAGTCTTAATACATTTAATCATTGTTTACAGAGAAAATGATGAATCTGTTGGTATTGGAGAAGTTGATGATAGGGTATGTAAAATAATATCAATTACTATAAGCATCCTTTGTCACTTCTTACAATAAGAAAAAAACTTGATGTATTGCACGATTCTATACTTTTATCACGTAATCTATTGATTATGAATGAGTCACTAATAATCATTTGTTGAGTCACGTGTAAAATTATAAAATACATAAAACTATTTATTGTCTTTCATAAAACGATAGTTTATAAATTGGTCAAGGCCAATTTAAAAGCCTTTACCGAAATTGAACTTTCTAGACAAAGTGAAGCAATTTAACAACACTAAAAAATAAAGTAAATTTTTTTTAATGTCCGATTTATAACGGATAATAATTTTCACATTTATAATAACCACCTGAAGGCTTCATTCCCTCAGGAAGTTATGTGAAGGCTGATATATCTATAACAGCTTTATAAATAATTATGGCATGTTTATCACGTTTGCTTTTAAGATAATTGACTCACGTGATAATGAGAGGGATGAGAAAATTAACAGTGTAAGTAATGCACCCCAATAATTAAAAACAGTTCTGTAGTGTCGTAGCGAATAATAATGAGCTTCAGATGATGTTAGAAATTATTTTATAACAAAGCTTTCAAGAAGTTTATAAACTCTAGGAAGTATGAATATTCAATGAAATAAGCAGTTGATGATGTTTAGAAAAGTAGATCTATCACTTGGCTAGAAATTAATACTTTCCTTTACCTTTCATGTGTAAAAGAAAACATTTAAACTCTCTTTAAATTAATTAAAGGTACGAGAACAACCTGAGCCTGATCGCAATGAAGAAAAAGTTCGTGAATTCTTCAGAAAACTTGCTGGTGACGATATGGAAGTGGATTGGATGGAGTTGAAAGAAATTCTAGACTATGCTATGCGCAAAGGTATGAACTTTCAATGATTTCTAATTTACTAACATTCACAAATTTTTTAAATCTAATATAGTAGCATTATGTCATCTCAGCATGGCTCATTAATCATTAATCAGAATTTTAGACTCGTTATGCTTAAGCCTCGAATTATTTCACTTTTTGTAAATATATAAATATCAATTCAGCTTCTTTGCTTTTTTTCAAGACTTCCGCTTTACTAAAATTTCAAGGTAATCACATTTAATTATCATGAAATAGCCAATTTATTTTTGGCACAAATAAAGTAACTAAGAGAATATGACAGTGATAGTTGTACTACTTTTGAATATTAATTGATTTGATTGCATGTAAGCAATAATAATAAAGCTAACATTTAGTGTGTGTTGCTGGTAGAGCTACCACTGTCCTCTCAACGTAGTGAGGCTCATACTTCAGACAATGTACAAGAAAATGGCTCTTTTGTGGATACAATCATCTCTCTACTATGTAGTATTGTTTGCAATAACGAACAATACAATAAGTCTACGGGTAAGCAATTTTGTTATCATCACCATCATTGCAATCATCATTGAAACATTTTTTGATATTATTCGTTTCATTTTTTTTATTGAGTTGGTAAATGAGTTTTTAATTTATTTATTTATATTGTTTTATAATTTTATTAGATTTGATTTCTTTTGTTGAAGAGTACTATTATTTTTACATTATTATTTCCCAACTCAATAATCCAAATGTTAATTTACTCGTTTGTTGATGGTAAAAAAGTTCTTTGTAATTTTGTATGAGTATTAGAGATGCTTTTACTAATAATATTAAAAATGCACATTTGAATATGACTAAAATAGTTTGTCTTTAGAATATTAATTAGAAGTTTTAAAATTGAAAATGATGAGTTAAATAATAATAAATTCGAGGAAATTTTTTAACTTCAATAATAAAGTTTATAAATGTTAATAATGTTAAAACATTTGAATTTTGATGTTATCATTATAATTTTATGATAAAATTTAATGTACTTCGAGATATCAAGTCATACAATTACAATTTTTAGGATTAAAGTTAGTAACTATTATTCATGAAATTAATTTAAAAACTTCCTTGAATCCTCTTTTTGTAACAGAAGTTTCCAGTATTTTATTATTATTAACAGTTAAATATAATTTTTTTTAAATTTATTATTTATAAACTTAAAAAATTTGTTTCCTTTATCTAATTAAATGAATATATCGTATAAAAGACAATCCTATTTATATAAATAATAGCAATACTATGGATGATGTAATTTTTTTATTTCTAGAAATGCATAATGAAGGATTCAGTAAAGATGTCTGTAGGAGTATGGTTGCTATGATGGATACCGATCATTCTGGAAAGTTAGGATTCGAAGAATTTAAAAGTTTGTGGGCTGATATAAGAAATTGGAGGGTAAATATCTTGATACAAAATTTAATTATTTGTTCAGATTAAAAAGAAGGAATTCCATTCTCAAGTATTTTTGATAGCTTGTTAATAATATAATACCTAACAACTTAAGGAATCTATTATTTCAGGCTGTGTTTAGATTATACGATAGAGAAGGAACAGGATATTTGAGTGCCTTTGAACTAAGACAAGCACTCAACAGCGCTGGATATAAATTAAATAATCATATTCTAAACATTTTGGTGCACCGATATGGAACTAAGGAAGGAAACATTACCTTCGATGATTTTATTATGTGCGCTGTTCGATTGAAAACCATGATTGGTGAGAATGGATCGATATTTGATGAAGATAATTTTTTTAATTTTGATAATTATCTATTGTAAATGTAGTATCAATATTATTTTATTTTTCTTTGCTTTTCATTATTCATGTTATTAATAATCAATTAACTTACCTTTTTTATAAATAATATAACCCGAATTAATTTCCTTTTGCTTTGTTTATAGACATCTTTCGAGAACGTGATCCAGATCATACTAACTCTGCAACCTTTACGCTGGAAGAATGGGTCGAAAAGACTCTCTATTCATAAAAATCATTATATAAATCACATTTCTATTAATTAATACTCCTGTAATTAACTGACTATAAAATGTTCCTTCAAATTATTTAGAAAAAAATACATTATACTCGACAAACGTCTGCCAAAATTATAACAAATCTGGCGTCTGTTGGAGCGCATTTTTTTTAAAACAATGGCGCTGTCACAATTTTTTACGCGCTAAATTTTCAAAAATCGCACAAATAAAAATTTTATAACTTCATCATGTGCCTACTATTCTTGCATTCGTCATTAAAACAATTAATATAAAATAAATTGTTTAGAACTTATATACTATTGATATTACCGAAGATGAATGTATTAAAAATGATAAAAAAATTGTGATTAATATATTGTTTTTAAATACTCATGTGTTGGTTTAATTCATCATTTATTCAATTATTTACTTATATATAATTATTATTATTATTATCGGTATTAAATTAAAAAAATCCTAGTAAATATTTTAATTATCAACAACTACAAAACGTACTATTGCAATTAATTTATAAAAGCATTATTATAACAAAAGAATGCTTTTCATTCGAAAATTTTCAACATATATTAGCTAAAAATTGAGCGATAATTAAATTAATTATTATTGATTAGTAGAATTTATTTGTTGCAAAAGTCTACCTAGTGTTAAATATTATCATTAGTTCAATATATACATAAATATTAATGAATAATGTTTTTTTTTAATACAGATGAGTGTTATAATAAATAAATAATTAAAAACGTAAAATGGAACTGTTAAATAATATAACACTGAATAAAATTCAAAAAATATAAAATATGCAAAAGTGAGTAGACTTTTGCAATAAATTGATATTAACATTTAAATTATTGTACTAAATTAATATTAATATCAGTCTATAATCACGTTAAATTTTTTTTTTAATATAAGTACGTGAGGTTGCATAATTTTTGTATTTATTATTATAAAAGTTATTCATAAATAAACAAAAATAATATCAAGAGATATTACGGAATGTGCATTTGATCATTTGATGATTACATTTTGCTAACATTTATCATCTCATATACATCAGATTCTTTTTTACAGTTAACAGTTGACTAGAAAAAAATACGGAGTGATAAGTAAATACATTTATTTTACAATAATGTTTTTTAATTGTTAAAAATGCACTCTGGAGAACTCTATATTTTTGTAGGAACAATTTACATAAAAGATCTAAACTATTATATGTATCTTATGGCTTTGAGCCTTTGGTCTTATATTTTAAAAAATATTGAATATTTATTTTAAATAAAAAACATTAATAATTATTAATAAACTTATGAGAATAAGCCATTAAATGTATGAATGTTTACTGTATTATACTCTCAGTAAAATTAATCTTTAATAAATAAAATGTCCAAGTTTACATCGAAAAATACAGTCTTTTGATATTTTTTTTCAGTGTTTCCTTAGTGGTTTCATTACTATACGCGCAAAATAATTCAAGCATTTGTTTTAATATCTAGGGGAGGTATGATATGAGATGTTCTTTAGATATATTAAATTAATTTATATTTTTAATGATCTTTTTTATAAGACTAGACAGTTTAAATGATTTATCTCTTCCTTTTCTTTTCCATATGTTGCTTCAACAATTTAAATAATCATTTATGTTATTTTATTAACTATTTTTTTGATTCAGTTTGTTTAACGAAAAAATTTAATATTCATTATTCAAAATAAATTGAAAACTGTAAATAAAAACTGTATTTACACAATACAGAATATTCCTTTTAAATTCAATTTAATGCAATTATCGACGTATTAATTTATTCACATTGAGTATGCAAAAAAAAATATTTATGAGAATATTTGATCAGTAATATGATTGATTATTAATATGCAACCTCTCGATTAAACGCATCTCTCATTAATCATCACATTTTCCGGCACTTGTACTTTCAATCATCTGGCTAATATTCAGTAATCTTATCACCTTATCAATTGATCCTATCATTCACAATCTGTACACTAATAAGCCATTAGCCATATTTTTTTCATCAATTATTTATGCAATTATTTTATTATCAATGTATTCATCTTCATCCTCATCAGCAAATTTAAATTCCTCTTCGTCTTCACCAATAAAATCATAAATAGAATCTCGAGAAATTTCTTTTATATCAGCCTCTACTCCATAATCCGGACTTTGAATTTCTTTTTCACGCGTAATATCTTTATCAGTCTCTTTTGATTTGTGAACTCGAGCGGGAGATTCATTTCGACCTCGAATGAATTCTTTCATCGGTATACTTTCTACACCTATTTTTCTGCTTTCCGTAACAAAATTTAAGTCGGTGAAATCTTTTAATCGGCGATTAACATTTGGAGTTTTTGGTTTAGGTAAAATAACTTCATTTTTATCATCATCCCGATCATTATTTCGGTTTGAGGAGTGTCTTTTAGGTTTTGTAGGTTCATGAGAATTTTTTTTTCTACTCTGACTAACTTTAGATAATTCACTAGAACTTTTAGAAGCTTCAGAGGATGCTTGAAGTTTTTTTGTATTATTTTCGTGATATTCCTGCAATTTATTCCTTACAGTTGCAGGAGTTTTTCTTTTGTCTTCGTCAACTAATTTATTATTTCGTGATATACTACATCTGGAGTGCTCTTGTTCTTCAACTAATCGGTCTCGATTACTTTTAGGAGTAAATTTTCCATCAACAGATTCTTTAGAATCTCTTTTATCTGATTCTTCAATTAATCGATTAGGAATCACATCCAATTGAAAGTCTTCTTGACTGTGCCTCGTAAGTGATTCTTCACTTACTCTTACTCTAGATTCTTCTAAGATACGATGAATTGGTAGCATTCCTTCTTGTAATCTGGCACGATATTCCATAATTATTTCATCATGAAGTCTACATTCACCAGGATCCAGTTTACGAAAAGGAATTTCACTGTCTGTTTTAATTTTTTGATATTCCGAAGGTGTCAGCGCAGTGCCTTCAGTATCAAGAATTACTTTCGATTCGTCGTCAATTCTTCTATCAGGAATCTCTTCGTAATGATGGTCTTCCTTGATAGCTTCGAGGATCTCGGTTTCTCCCGGAATTAGAGGTGGAATCCATACGAGAAAAGCAGGATCCATAGCTAGATATGATCCTGGAGCTGCTCCAGCATTTGATACATTATAATCATAATAATCAAGCTCGAGATCAGTGTCAGGATTAGCTAAGCTAAACTCTGAGCCAGGTCCTTGAAGGAGTCGTTCACGATTTCGTCGATCTTTTGTTTCTTTACCACACCGGAGCGTTGATGAACTCGATAAAGTGCTTGCTGGCGAGAAACTCTGCAATATTTCAAACCATAATGATAACAATGATTTTATGAAATCCATACGTAAGTGATTTGTGGTGGTGAAATGCATATAAATGAGCGGTGAGGGGAGGAGATAGTAGAGGAAACCCATCCAAGATATTATGGCAAATTAATTAAAGCATTAATATTGAGGACGGGTACCTTGGTCTGCAGACTAGATGGTTTTGGGTGAGAGACGCTTACGTTATTCACGCTGGTTGAACCGCTGGCAGTACTGCATCGTCTACTGTCTTCTGAAATTGATGCCTCTTCTGACACAGGACTTATAGGACCAACCGTGCGAAGCCTGTAAAATAGTTTCAAATTACTCAATGAATGTGCTTCTAAGTTAATCAAAATCTATTGAAAATTAATAAATCCAGTGACATATCCTCGAACACAACTGTTCTATCAAGCGTGAATAGTCTCCTGAGCGTTTTTGCGTTTTATACAATTGTGTAGATAGATATAATAAAAGTTATAACATCTAAATGATGCTTGAAACAGTGTCATGCACATTTGTTTTTTCTTCTTTTGTTTTTTTTTTAAATGTAGTTTTGTTAATTATTTATTTCGAATGTGAATATTTGAAAATAAAGCCTGCCAAAAGTTTTTTAAAAATACTAAAACAAATTTAGTTTTAATAAAAATCTTTTAGAGTGGTTGTAAAGAGTTTTTATTAATTCAATTGTTCATTACTTGAAGAGGAAAAAAATCCGATCAATAAGTTTTTTCTCTTCAAATAATAATTAATCGACTTAAGCAAAATCTTTACAACTATTACGAAAAAGATGATAAAAAAACTAAATTTTTTTTAAACAAATATTTTACTGCATTACAATAACATTTCCGTACTATAAATTAGTATCATTTGTATTGTTCTTAAAAAAAATTAATATCTATTTTTGGCAGGTTGTTCTTAAAGATAATTAACAAGTGTTGTATGATAAAAAATGATCTAAAAACTATAGTCTTTGATTCGTGCAATCGTTTGGCACATTACTTTATTTGAATTCCAGCCAGCAATTCTGGAGAAGATTGTTATAACAGGGAGGAATGCACTAAAAACAGATATTAAAGCATACGGGAATATATTGAAGTTCATAAATTAATTAATATAAACCCAATAACTAATCAATTATTATTTTGTTTGCGTAAATTAGCAAAATAATAAATTTGAATAATCATAATCCATAATAATAACAGTGACAAAAAATTAATATTCATAATTATAATTAATAAGTTAAAAAAATAAAAATGATAATTAAATTCAGGCAACATGCCTATGAAAAACTTACTTAACTGGACGGGCGTACTTGACCTCAGGCTGTCCTGAAGTTATTGTACTAGCTGTAGAAGATCGTTGAGATGGAGTACTTCGAGCACTTGCAACTATCGTTTTTTGAGACCCACTTTCTTCCAGTTCTCGCTGTTTCATAACTCCAGATTCTAGACTTTGTTCATCATCCATCCTGCAATTATAATAAATAAATTTCAAAATGTTAATAAAAAATTATGCCCCAAGGCTTTTTATATTATATTTACTAGAGCATTGAGTTGTTGACCACAAAATATTTTTATCAAGACTTCTTAAATATTTTTTTATAATACATCGATGAATGATGCCCTTAAGCACTTGAATAATGAGATAAACGGGTAAATCGATGGAAAAAAATTATACAAGGTGAGTAAATGTAAAAAAACTTACTCTGCTTGAGTTTCTGTACTTTCGTAACCGTCTTCAAGATCAGCAGGTGTTTCTTCAAGTCTCCCGTGTCCAGAAGGTCTTCTTTTTGGCAATCGAACGAGAGAAACGACCTCGGAAATGAGTGTCGCTGATGATAATGCTCTTGCACGTCGGGCAAGTCCTTGCATCGAGCCACTACAAGCTGTGATTTAACAAATTATTAATTTATTTCAAAGCGGATTTATCACAGCGCAAAGTTGAAATACATTAAATGAAATGTGTTTATGAAAAGCAAAATAATTCATCCGTATATATGAATTAAATTAACATATTTTTGTTATATTAAATAGTGCTACAAACTGTGTTAGTATTCCAACCTGTGGAATGTACGGTGACATAATTTTGGAAATAAACAAACATTCATTACTGAATGATGATTTAAATATCACAATAAATTGACTGATGTTAATAATAATTCAATGTACTAATTGAGTCATCATTTTGAGGCTTTACATTAACACTCTTAATCACTTTTGAGAATTTATTTAGAAGGTTACGAGATAATAGTTTAAAATAAATCCCTATATTAAGGAAAATTTAAATTATTCAAAGAATTTCTACCTGAATTACTTTGTGACGAAAAATTTAAAAAATGGAAATATCTAATCCAAGAATTATCTTTAAGGATTTATATAATTACTAAATAATGTATTTCAATCACATATTCTTGAATCTCTGTATATTTCGTTACATTTTTTAGCGCTGCTATTTCCATCATAAATCATATCATTTTTTAGTCGGAAGCTTTCAGTTAAAGAATTTAATATTTATAAAGTTGTTTTTCGTGCCGGCTGTGTTATCTAGAAAAGCTAAAAGAGGAAAATTGATCTTACTAGAGTTGTCAGTCAAGCTATCCAAATCCTCAGCAACTTGATATTTTCGATATTTTACGGCGTATTGCAACGCTAAGAACATCGAGACAAGAAACATGAGCAGTAAAAGCACGGCAACAACTAAATGAGGTGGAGACAACCATAATGCCCATCTTCCGACCGCTGCTATCACTTTGGGTCCGATAAAGACAGCAGTGGTGACTTCTGTCTCATTCTCTGGTGGGTAATTTGCTGTAAAACGGAAGCAGATTAGACAATCAAGTTCAATATCATCTAAATTTTTTAACTTGAAATAAATTTATGACTATCAAACATTTTAAAATAAAATATTTTATCGAGAGAAATTTATATAACACTTGAAGTGTTTAAAAGAAATAAATTTTTCATTATATTTACAGAATGTCGTTGCATGTGCTAGAAATCCACCAGCGCAAGCTGTTCTAGAAGCAACTATTTCATCACTGAAAAATTCCAAAAGTAAATTTTGTCCTGAGGATATCACCGTCCCTGATTCCGGAATATTTCTATCGTATGCAATATCTGCCAGAAGCTCAGCACTTGTAGAATCACCATCTCTAGCTTTTACATATTGACCAGCACAAGGAAACTTGGATTGATAAAAGTGGAGTTTTACTACAGATCTTGGTTCAGCCTAAAAAAGAACTTTGTTTACTTTTGTCTTAGAGGTTTCAAAAAGGTTGTTTATCATGTCATTTACCTGAACAAGCCAAAAGGAACGCCCAGGGCAAGCTTGAGTACTAGCTGCTAAAATTTTTCGTGAAGTTTCATTACGGAGATTGATAGAACAGCCACACCTACACTTAGTGCCTACTTTTGCAGTTATTTCTGGTCGCTCAGCAGCCAATGCTTGGCCATGTTTACATTCCCATTCGCTTGCACTCAAGGTTTTTTCCAAATCTAGTTCACTAGCACTTCCACAGGATTTCGCTTCTACGGCTTCACCTTGACAAAATTTTGCGCCGTATCGTGGAGGTGGTCTATCGCAAAATCTGTAACGTTTTCGTACTCCATCTGCACACGTACTGCTGCATGGTCCCCATGGACTCCAATCACCCCATCCACCTGCATCGCTATCTGCCAACATTCAATTGATTTATGTAAATAACACAAAGATAATTGTAATGAATATACATTTGATAATTTCAATCAGATATTGGATTTAATAGCCAACAGTTATTGACTGTCTAGATCAGAAACCACAACTGTAATGAGATTTGCTTGTGAAACATGCATAATCTTGTTTCTATTAAACGTCTTTTGATTATTAACATCAATGTATTCTATGCATTGAAACTTTAACTCAACCATTTGCTTTATTATGGTCATCAATATTAAGCTATTTACTTGATTAAATAATTATTATCATAAAATAAGATTAATATTAACATCAAGCACAAAAAAGTTAATACTTCATTTTCAAGAGATTAAATGTTGATATTAATTTAATACAAATCCCAATAGGATTTAAACGTGAAATAAAAGGCAATAAATGTATATGATGTGGATTTAATTATATCTTTGAGATATAAAAATTGTATTAACGTATTAAATACTTCATTTCGATGGTCATTACAATGTTTGAGATTAATTTATCAATTTTATTATATTTTGTATTTTATTTTTTCTCTATCTGTAAATTATATTTTTAATGTTGAAATTAGTTTTGTAGCAAATGAAGAGGCAGCTGAATAAATTTCGTTATTGCAATTTAATACATAAACTAAAATCATAAAAAGGCAAAATTGATGTTAAAAAAGTTTAAAATCTTCGAGATAAATATATATGTACTTCTTTTTACTCTGCCAACTCAGCTAATCTTTTTCTTGATGAACGTCGAAATGGACTCTCTGGATTGTTTTGTGGAGAATGAAGCGCGTCTTATAAAAAAGATCTTAAAATGTTAGTAGGTTTCTTAAGCCGCCAGTGAAACCAACTTCATCTCAAGAATTGTGTGTTATATAAAGAAACTTGGAAAGTATTTACAATGCTATTCTTTAAGGAAAAAAAAATAGTAAATTTTATTTTTGCTTGTATTATGTAGATGATTTAACTTTACTCTGATCGCGTCTAAGCTTTTCTTCTTCGTTGTTTATGATTATTCAGTAATGGTATTTAAAATCAGTTTGTAATAAGAGACAACTCTAAATTTAATTGTTTTGATTGTATCACAGTAACTTAAGAAATAATCTCAAAAGTAAAGAAAATCTTCCTACAGTGTACTGAGAGAATTGAAAATTTTAATTAACTATTTTCTTCACTGTAAAATTTACGTCTTCCTGGTAATAAAATAGTGACAAGAGCAATATTTTCTCATTTAAAAAAAAAAGATAGAGGTAAATGAATTTTCATTTATTCCTAGAATATATTATTTCTAGTTGTAGATGAAAAGGAAAGATTTTCATTTTTCAAATAAAACATTAAATTTTTAATAAAACATTTTCTTTAGAAATTTTTATACGGGAATAAATTATTTCGAAATTACACGCTTTTTCACTTTAATAAGAAACATCGCTTCAATTTAAGTAAATGTTATTTACCTAATAAAAACGTCTTCCTAACAGGAATTCATATTTTTCTTGAATAGTATAATATTTTTTTTTTATTTAATAAAAAAACCGATGTAATAAACTATTTTTTCATTTTCTATTTTAATTTTTACAAAAAAATTAAAACCCTTTTCTTTAGAATTGTATTTTATTTAATTCGAAATATTTATTGAATTTTTTTATTATAACTTTGAAGAAATATCCTATAAAATAGTGAAATTAATGACATTTAGATTTAGAATGAGATACTTTGTCACCATTAACTAATGTTGCAGTAACAAAATCAGATTTCTACACTAATATAAGAAATTGCAATGAATTAATAGCTATATAATGTTATATCTTGGTCGTCTAGATGAACGTAGGAAGTCAACGAGGTTGGTTTATATGCAAATTGAAATAATTCCATTAGCTTCACCCGCGGGATTTCCACAGTTACGATAAAACGAGTAATCGAAGTGACGGATAACTATTGACTGTTGTTAACTTCTCTCTCAATTATCTTGTCTAACTCACAACTTTTTAGAATATTAAACATTTGATAATTTTGTTATACTCTATACGTACTATTATTATGAAAATTAAATTAAATACTCTTTCGTCGTAAAATTAATTAACCTGACTACGCAATTGTTTGAGAGCTCTAACAGAGCAAATAATAACTCGTTGGTGGTATATTCTATCTAGTTTCACATGTTAAGTGGACACTTTACTGGTGGCTGGATGCTATATTTTACGCAAAATTTCGTCGTTTAAATTCGACGTCAGTGGTGCAAACGATATTTATAGAAGTGAGTGTTTTGCTCTACAATCATTATGGTATTGCTATGAAATATTATTCGATCTGTACTAGTCGAGAGCATGAAGAGATAATGTATTCTAGACCATAAATGATCACGTATTATTACATCCGAATATCAATGTCGATAGCTATCGATTTGAAAGCTACATTCATGTTTAAAATCTTATATTATCATTAGAATCCAATTGTTGATTAATCATTCATTTAAAAGCTTTGCTATTATGTTGTTTCCTAAGTAGACTAACTTATTTATCGAATGAATATTCATATAATTTTCTCTCACTGTTTCGAAGTTTATTATCAATTAATGTTTTAGATAAGCAAAGTAAATTTTTTTAAATATTTAGAAGGTTCATTTGTGATATTTTTAATAGATCATTTTATCGTTAATGATGCTGTTCTCGAATGTCTCATTTAACCTTAGCTCTTTCTAATTATTTCTTATGCTCATGACTCTTTAAAGTTAATCAACAATTCATCTTTATAAAGTTTAGAATTTCTGATTAAAACTGCCATTTAGGCTTACAGAATCTCTTTAAATGTTCATTTATAATTAAGGCACCTATTAGGAATCTTTAAATACGTTCTATGATAGACTCTAGGCTAACGATCAATCATAGCATGAATCTGTTTGAGAAATATGTAAATTTTGATGAATAATTAGCAGAAGTGTTTTTATAGAAGTCACATTAAGAATGTTCATTATCTTTTGAAATTGTCTTGATATTAAATAACATAGAGGAAAATTAATTTACTGGATCAGTTCGTAATAAAAAGTTAATAAATATTTTAAATATTTAAAAATGTGTCTTAAGTTAAAGACTTTTATATAAATGACTCCATTCTTTTAAAGTTTTTTTTATTAAACTTTTTTTGCTAGTTTGCTTTGAAAATGTATTTATCTAAGTGACTGAAAGTGTTTACTACTTTGTCTCAGTCTTTCTTTTGGTAATGGAGAAGAGCCACTATTGCTTTTGCTCACTGAGCTGAAATGAGATGCTCATTTATCCGTAATAGAAGTGAAGCAAAGTGTTTATATTCAGAGTTTTCCTCAATAAAATACATAACAAATAGACTTCTACACAAAGATAACTGTCTTTTTATTCTATCTTCAAACTTGTGTTAAGTAATTAACTTATTTATTAGGATTTATCTGTACTAAGGATTCAGTTGTCCTGAAAATTAATATTACATCGACTAAAATATTCAGATTTTAATAGTAAAAGCTCATTTTTAGCTATATATTAGTGGAGTTAAAGCTTCTTATTAACCCGTTTAATAAATTAAAATCTTGATGTTAATTACCTTTGATAGAAAATGTTGGAATACAATCTACCCGCACCTCAGCTACTGCACCGTTGATTGCTTGACTAACATAAACGAAACAGTATTCAACAAACTTCTCTGTAAATATTTCACAATCAAATTTTAACCGATTTTTTTTCCGAGGAGCTTTCAATTCTGCAATATATTTAAGCGTCGATGGTGGTGCTAGTGACGTTACATCTGCTCTGAGACGTCCATAAACTCGTACACGATCGTCTTCAAGCCGACAAGACGGATATTCGTAAAGTACTGACAGCCCTCCAGAACTTCCGTTACAGGGATAAACTGATTTTTCAAGAACATTGAAGATATACTGGTTCGAAACTTCTACCTGTAACATTTGTGCCATTTTGATAATAAATTTCCCATCTTAACAAGAAGAAAAATGATAATGTAAACATTTACGATGTCTCCAACATTTGATCATATTTTCTCGTGAATAAAATTCAAGTAAAAAAATACTGACAGACAAATACAATTTACTTTTAAAATATTTTTATTGGAAATAGATGTTGTAACAAGATTTTCTACTATCTATCAATTTTCATATTTAGATAAAAATGTTAGTTTTTATTCCTAGATGTTTCAAATAAAAATAATAGTACTGTTGACGTGCTTATTGGAGACATATTAAACGCATACAAACATAGTATATAATACATGCAAAAAAATATTAATAATTACTTTTATTTAAAATTTTTTTCATTATAAAGTGTATGCTACTACTGATAAATATTTTTTATTAAAAAAAATTGTGAGTAAAATTTGCTTTGAATAAAATGTTAATACTTAGATAAAATGAAGAGCTTACTTTCATGTATGCACTGGTAGTTGGAGCTGTTGAATTAACATCGGACGGTTTTAATCTCAATGCATAATGTCCAGCAAGTCCAAAGAAATCACATCGCAAAACAAGATTCTTTCGCAATGGAAATCCTGTGATTTTTTCAGAGTAAAGTATCTGAAAAATAATACCCAATTCTATAATTCGATTTTCCTTATTGAATTGAGTACTCTCCATTACCTGCACGTTGCTTTTGTTCCTCGGATCACATGACAATACACTGGCACCACAGTAGATGAGTTGTAGAGAGAACGTGTCTACAGGAATACCTTCAGCTGGAGCACATGAAACTCCAGTGTATTCTAAAGTTGCATCAACTGGTTTATCAGGATAAGTACTAAAGTGGGAGTCTATAGCTAACGAAGGGGTTGGCCATCTCACGTCCAATGTTGTTCTCATCTATTTAGGAAAATTCCATATTGTGATTAGTTTTAGATTCATAGAATAGATTATCAAATCATTTTTTTTTTATATTATCATGACTAGAAAACAAATTATGACCAAAATTTTTGGTTTTATAGAATTTAAAAAAACTATGAAACATTTAAAGCAGTGTATTTTAAAATTTGATTTTGTAAGAAGATTAAAACGTTCTAAATAAATATTATGGTATAAAAATTTTTCATTATAAAAACAATTCATGTATTCACTTTGAGCTTTTTAATGATACCGCGATGGTTGCTGTACCATCATTCGTTCGTAAATTACAAGGTTTCAAAGAAAAAGTGATGTTTTTGCTTCACTAACTAATATGTAGTATCATATAATATATTAAAAGACATCATACTTGGATTCATTTCTACATTTTTCCTAGCATTAAATTAAATTCAAAAGATACATTAAAAAATTGCTCTATCATTTTCGAATTTAAGATAAAAACTGTGAAACTATTATTTATTATTAAAGTTACGATAAATTAATCAAAGTCTAAACTTTGTCTGTATTTATCAAAAATTTTATTCACAATTTTTATTTTGTCACTTTGTTAGAGTTGAATTTTATTTGCACTTTACCTGAACTCCATTAGTATCCATAAATTTTCCACTAGCAGGTACTGACTTGCGTTGAAGTTGTAACGAGTAAGCACCGCCACGAGTAAAAAATCCACAGGGGATGGAAAGAGAAATATTCGCTACTGATGTGGAAGTTGTTTCTATTGCTACTTCTCCAATTAACTCCGATGAGAAGCCATCTAGACGCATTACTCTGGAATAATTATCTTAATTATTATGATCCTTATTATCCTTATTATTATAATTATTATTTTTATAATTATTGTAAACTTTAGCTTTAAAAATAATAATAGAATAAACTTTTCAATAAGTATTTTTTTTACAAGTCCATTATTTAAAAACCTTATAACAAATGGGTCTTGTTGAAGAGATGATTGCCAATCATAATTATCACTTCTTTTCTCTTCTTCTTCTTCCTCTTCTTCTTCCATTATGATATCAGCCTCTTCTGTTGTCGTGCCAATTCCTGGGACACGAGTACTAGTCTTCACACGGTCTAACGCTGATAAGTTGATTATTAAAACTGCCAAGTCTCCTGATAAAGCTGTATGTGAGGCTGCGACAATAAGTCTTGAGAAAAAAGAGTCGTCTGTCGCCAATGTAAATCCCATCATATCTAGAAAAAAAAATGATAAATTCATTAAAAAACAATTAAAAAATTCTACTCTCATAGCTTGTATGCCATGTAAAGAAATTAAACAGCAATAAAAAAGAACAAAATTGTACAGAGCATGAAAAGCAACTGGTGGGTGGAAAACAAAAAGAGAAAATAAGCGGATTCGTGGTATTATACATCATCAACTTGACTAGGAATTATGGCTAGCTATCCTGTGTAAAATTATTTTTAAAAAACTGCTACCTAGATATTAATTATAAAAAAAAGAGGAAAAAAAAATATCTCCTCTCGTTGATCTTTCAAGAAGTAATAGAGTCTTTTACGAGGATAATCCTCAAGATAGGCCGACAATCTTGCGCAATTTCATTTTCCTTTTAAGCGTGAACACGTTTGCTAACTCACTCAAGTGGAAATCACTAGTGGTCAGAGGGAAAAAGGTGGAAATGATATAAAATAAAATTACAAGTAATTTCATGTTTGATCCGTCAAAAGTATTACCACCAATAATAGGTTGAAAGTTTATGCAAGTTTGAATAGATGTTTGCTGAATGTTGCAACCAATTAAGGATGATTAAAGTATTCTATTATGTGCATATAATGTTTACAACAAACTATTATTCATATTAACAACGATTCATATCGTTATGATAAGTATTTCAGTAGGAATATTTATGGATTAAAAAATAGGAATTCAATCTAAAATCAGTGTGTTATTTTCAAATAGGTGATGATGTTGTATTAGATTATCCAGATTAGCAAGGGAAGAGAATGTGATCTACCTCATGCATTGAATTGTTTGAGATATAGTACATATTAGGTGCTAGGTAAACCTTGCTATCTGTCATGAAGATATGCCAAGCTGCTAAGAGACACGGTGAACTGAGTCAAGAGAACAATGATCATTCAACGCAACATGACATCAACCAAAATAGTATCTAACGCAGACATATAGCGATGTTGAGAACACCACTAAGCTTTGGAGGTCTCCATGGAATGCAATCTCTTCAAGTACCACAAGTCAATTAATTAATTGCTTGCATACGTAATGGTTTGGAATGCAGTATTCATGGGATAAAACTCAGCTTGGATTATTACTAATGGATATGAAATTTATCTTGGTCAACAGGAAAAAGCAGAAAGGATAACAACCGAGTATCGATCGCATTATTTCTACAGTGGATATGGTGGTCAAGAGTCACATCTCCAGAGAATTATCTTGAAAAATACAATAGTTAAGGGGTATTTTTCCAACTCATGATCCTCGTGAGTTCCAATTGGTCCACCAGAATAAGAACATGCTACGGTACCAACATACAAAGTCTTAAGAGGAGGTGAGAATTGCAAAAGAAAATATCTTCAATCCGACCTTGTATTCCCTTGAGAAACATTACATCTTTGTGTCCATATCATGGCGGCACAGAAGAACAAAGATCGACTCTGTATGAAATGAGGGGACGTAAAGTCTCTTACCCACTCACGAATAAAATGAAATATACTATCTGAAGAATGAAAAAGTTTTCATAATATTTTTCATAACCATTTTTACCAAGAAATATTCTTTTTTTTTTATATCTCAATTTAAAAAAAAAGTTTCTATAAAATCTTCAATACTTTTAATAGGTATTGTTTTGAAATCAGTAATAAGTTAATAAATTAGTCTATTAATGTTAAAAGTTTTGAAATGAATGTAGAAACTTTATATTAGTTTATCACGATCTTATGTTTTTCTCTAATCGAATAAAAAAAGTGCTAAAATAAAAATTAATAGCTTTTATCGTAAAAGTATGTGTTAATAAAACCACTAATCAAATAATGGCTTCTGATGGACATTGTATACGAATAGCAAGAGAAGTAATTAATCATCTAGATTAAGATCGATAGTAGCAAACTGATGAACTCAATGATATCAATCCGGATTCTAAAGTTGGTAGCCTAGACCAATGACCAACGACCACTGAACCAATCGTACCGTAAATAGTCTCATTATCTCCACAGTGAGATTACTGAAAGACATTTCAACAGAGATCAATAAGGATTTGGTGTCTGACCACCTTGCATCATATTCAATGCTTGATAATGTCTGAATCTTATTAACTCCCTTTCATCATCGGAAATTACAGGATTCTATGTGAGAATGAAGGGAAGAAGCACATTCGTAGAAAGAAGCCATTTTCAAGACTTTTGGCTAAGGATGAAGCCTTTAAACTTCATGTCATGTAACATGAGAAAATAAAATGTTTATTCAATTTATATATCATCAGCAAGTTTTTGTTTTGTTTTACCCATGGCCCATTCACTTAGGAATTGACTTTCTTTAAAAAAGCAAATTTAGATTGAACAGGAAATGAACATCCAACAGTTTTTGATTGCTCATAGACCAAGTCACTTACTGAAGAATGATTCACTGAATTTCATTGTATCCTATTGAGAACTTCCATTCAACATTCACGCATAGAGCATAATATTAGATCTGACTACTCAATTAGTCCAAGCATTGAGCATGTTCAAATCTGTTGCTCAACTATGATTCAATTAAACCAGATCATTTTTTTTCTGGTCTAGCTTTGAATTGATTTTAAAATCAATATTTTTTGGTATTCTATAAATTCAATTAACCGCATGAATAGTTAAATGCAGGATTGATTGGTGAATCATGAGAAATCATGGGATACGGTTGGAATCAAGCTAATTGTTTTGAAAACTTCATTAGTTAATTAATTCTAGCAGTACTTGGAATTGTAAATTTCAAGCTGACCAGTGATAAAACATGAATAAATGATGGAATAATTTTATTAAAAAATCCAATGAACTCTTTCTAGATGATAATTACAGCTAACTGAACAGGTTGTTATTGAAAGGTTTAGGGAAAAAATATCTAGTGTTAAATCAAGTGAATCATGTGCATATGTTTAGAAATATACAATAGTGAATTGTCAACACTCGGAATTTAACCTCAGATGTATATGACAGATGCTACAATATTCAGCTTCGTCGAACCGCGAAACGGCAGTTCTGATGGAAGGTGACTGAATAAGAATTTTGATTACTCTCTATATACCCACCACCACTTGCAAACTGTCAATGCACTTGACATGCGTCGATATAATGCTCCTCACAGAATATCTATGAGTCTATTTCCGCGTCAGTGTCTACGGACCATCGGAAATGTCAGAGGTTTAAAACGAGACATCGATCATCTTATGCATGTTTGGGAAAATTGGAAAGAGTGTTCAACACTTTAAGGAAAAATCTTTCTGCATGCAAAAACTCATTAAGTTTTAAGAAAAATGATAATTTTTATCAAATGGTAAACCCATGTTAACATTATTTTTTACTGTTTATTTACATGAGTGAATTTATTGAATTTTTTATCACATTTTTCTTCAGATAGACATGAAAGACTTTGCAAAGATTCATGAGCTTACTTTAATTTGATGGAAAAATAAAAAGCTATTGGAAATATTGAAAAGACGTTTTTTTATTTGATAAATTATATTATTTTTTCAATTGAGTTATTTTTTCATTTCCAATAATATTTCAGAACAAAATAAATTTTTCTAAGATATTTTTTTTTTCATTCATCAAACTTCAAAAAACACTAGGAATTTTTGAATGTTTGTAGAAATGTGAAGTATTCCAATCCAATCCATCCGAAAAAGCAACACATGTGTAAGAATTTTCAGCGCCTGGTGAAGAATTGGTTTTCTTTAAATTTCGATCTTGCTGTGATCCATAATAGATAAGAAAAAAGAGCATAAATATCAATCTAAGAACAGCAAAACCAGATACCTTCAATATTACTTGTCTTTCAGTCTTCAATATTGTTTCCTTTATTCTGAAAGAAGAAACTTGGGTTAGTCTTCAACAACAGAATTCCAATATCTTCAGAACGAGAGTCTCTGTAGCGTGATTTTGAGCAGCTCTTACTTACGATATACCTATATTCTTGTCAAGAGCTTTTTCATACGAGCATCGCTTTAAGCTTGCGGGACTCCTGAGACCTGGCTCTTTAGAATAGGTATACTCAGTGGCACACACAATAGGCTGTTCTCAGCTTGTATCTTTTTCAATCCTTTAGCATCATTTCTATGCTCCATAATTTTTTTCCACCTCCCTTTATATTCTCTTTATCAAGGTTCTAAGCTTTAACTCAACAAGGTTTCATGGAGGTCAAGAATCAGCGGCTTATTCACTCTGTCAAGCGAATAAATTGCTCAGTACTATTTTTCTCGCTTTTGTCTTTCTATAGGAATCATGACATCAGGTCAAGTATTTTGTGGCATGAAAGAAGGAAAAAGAAACCGATTCACACCTGCTAGACTTTTTTTTAGTAGTAGTTTCTCATTTGCTTTTTCTTCTTCCTCTTTTTTTTCTTTCTTTACTTTTTGCTTCTCTTCCGTATTTCTACTTTAAGATTTCCGCACAGTTGCTTGTGTCTTGCACTCGTTAAAACTTTTCGCTTTGTTTCCTTTGTTGCACACATTTGTACGTCTTACGATAAAACTCTGTTGTACAAGTCAGACAAAAGGTGAGAAGACTTGGTAATGCTCTTCTTTCTTATTACCCAAATTGAATGTTCAACACTCAATTGGCTTTATTTTAACAAATTATTATTAAATCTTTTTAACACGTCATATAATATGTATGAATAATTACTTTCACGTATTTAATTTCTTTAAATAGTCAATGGAACTAAGTCAACAATTATTGGAGAAGCTTTTCATCAAATTTCATGAAATTTCATGAATTATTCAACAGTTGTATACACTATATCTTTTTCAATGAAGCATGCTGAGTAAATTATTTAATTAAACATTAATTTCCTATTTAAATGGAGTTGGAAAATTTTTTAAACTACTGAAAATTCAGGAAGAATTCAAACAATGTAAAAAAAAACTAGTGAACTGTCTCTGTGAAAATGTTGAACATTTGATTTGTGAATATAAAACCAGAAACGAGGGTTTTATTGAATTTTTTCACCCAGTTTAGTTTTTATCTTCAACTAATTCAACATTCTAAACCTTTTAAAAACTATTTTTCTCGAATTTTTCATAAAAGAAACATGTAGTTTGCTTATCAGAAATTTGGTAGTAACAGTTTGAGAAAGCATACATTTTTTATGAGATAAGTCATATGTCTACATGACTTGTGTGCTGGTTGAGATATATGAAATGAATGGGCAAACAATCTCCAATCTTGTGATGTACGAGAATCCACTAGGATCTGACCGAAAGAAACGCATCCAATTGCCAAGTAGATAGTGAGAAATCTTTCTTTTCTTCTTACCGAACACCAGTTATCATCCACTTGCATAATGATTGGTGCTATTACTCATAACTGACACTTTTCTTATAGGATTTGTTACAGTTGGTAAAACGAATAAGTCAAATCATATTGATAAAATCGGATTGTATATATTGAGTATTTCCCTTCTTTCATCGAATTCGTTTCATTGGAAATCAAACATTTATGCTAGATAAAATAATTAATATTAATTCGTCACTTACCCCAGCTGAAGAAAATGAAAAAGAGAATTCGTAACAGCGACCATCTGAACAACCAATTCATGTCCAATCAGTCATCGGATATTTGTTCACATAAGAGCTCCTGTGAAAAAAAAATCTCTATTAAATAATCTTTTTTTTGTTGGTACTTTAATTAATGGATTTACCATGTAATGTGAACTAATTAAAACTAGCATGCTGACTTCATTATGGAGAGGGAGTTTTCTTTTAGAATGTTGGCTTGTAAAATACATTAATATGTGCAGTAACTTAAAGCATCAAAGATTTTTAAAAAATTATATTTTTTAAATTCAGTATCATAATTATTGTTAAAGAAAAATACAAAAATATCCATTTGTAAAAATATTGGTCTGAATGGCCTCTTCTTTATAATAATTACTATTTTCAACAGGGTAAATATACTTTTTAGAATTTTTTTAAATTTAATTCAAGATAGGATTACCTACATGGTAGAGAAATACTTTAAAATATTAAAAGATGATTACATGTTAAAAATAGTTGTAATTCGAACGAATGTAGAAGTGAAATTAAATGATATCTCCAAAGGTTTAATTAATGAGTTAAAATGCATCATCTAATCTCGTGGGATTGTTGAAAGATATTCAATTATTATTATTATTATTTAATGTTGAGCTTGAAATATCTGCTACAATATGACAAATTATTAAATTAAAATAAACATTGTGTGGTAGTAATACTATCAACATAATAAATGTATAATTTCTAGAATTAGATTTTCAAAGTTATATAATTAAATAGTTAAGTATACTAGATTTTAGTCACGTAAATTAACTTGATATCATTAATTAACTACATCCTATTGAGACATGTAAAACGTTTTCGTATTTCTTTGATATTACTCTCATGACAATTTTCTTTTGCATTCAGGTATTATTTATTTATAAAAAAATACCATCATAAATGTTAAAAGAATTCTTTTACTTTAATTATAAATTTCATTGTTATTTATTTGCTTAGGATGTTCATTAGCTTCCTCAAGTTTATTTAAAAGAAAGAATTTTTTAATTAAAATTTATTTTATTACCATCATTTGCGAATTATTTGAAGCTTTTCTCACGAAGAAAAATACAAGTTTTTTTTTTTTTTTTATAAGACAACTGAAGGCTATTTGTTGGACTATAAAAAAAATATAGTCACAGAACTCTAAGAGAATTTTCCTTCTTATTTCTCGTGTAATATAATCGACTATAGGCTTAAAAGGATCGATAAAAGATCAAGAATATTTTTATTAGGACATTGTAGTTGCTTCCGGGTAGAGAGACACGTTCATGGTGTACTTGGGAATTCAATACATGCATTTGCATCCGGTTGTTTGCGATGCAAAGAAAGGCGTCACGTGTGAAAACATGAATACGTCTGAGTCAAGGAAATTGTCCTCAATAAATGACAAAGTACCAGTGAGCGCAGTGTCTCGTTATCACTGTATATTCTCTGCTAAGGTTGAACGCTCTACATAAATTCCCATTGAAAAATGTCAAGCGAATAAATATTCCAGTCCAAATATATTTTATTGGAAAACAAGAATAAAATAAATAGGTGCAATCGTCCATAAAACTTTTAATTAAACTTTTTTTTCTCCTGCGAAACAAATTAAATTACCTTCATAAAAAATTGCCCAAGTCAACTAAAACTTCCGATAAAAAAAAAAAAGATAAAAATCATAACTTCCAGAGGATGCTTTTTTTTTTAGCAATGAAAATGATTGATATGATGATGGATTGTAATAAAGAGATACATCATTCTGATTTACAAAAGCTAACATGCGTTTTTTTGGTTTTATAATAGAATTGTAATAATCACATATGACGTGATTAGCTCTCTTCTTCTGAGATCAAATTTCTTTTTTTATTCCTTAATCCTCCTTTGTATAATCACTTAAACCTTTTTCAAGACCATCTAATCCTAATCCACACTGAAACCCGACTTTAATGTTTGGCGTGCGAACGTCGCTTTTCTTTTTGAAGTTTTAAGCATCCGATCTAAAAGTTACTGCTTAATACGTTTCTTCCATTATATCTATATGCATTTATGCACTGAGTACACACATATAATAGATGTATTTCAAGAAATTTCATCTTCCCTGTGGTATTATTCCAAACAGTATTATTATGCAAATGAAAATTCTTCTATTATAATCAATGTAATAAAAAATATTTGCATTGATGAAAAAACTTAAAAAATAATGTCATAAATTTATTATAAAAATATTTTAAAAATTTATTCTTTTTATATTTTTTTGAAACAATTATTTTCATTTAAAACAATGCACTTTATTAGATTCTTTAGGGAATAAAAAAAAAATTATTTTTACCAAGAATAAGAAGCTTAAAGGTCTTTGTTTTAATTTAAGAAATATTAAACTCTAAATTTTTACTTCAAAAAATTTTTTTGCCCTCTACAACACAACTGATGTGACATCATTCTTTAGAGTTTAAACATTTTTATAATAAATTTTACATGAAAAATTCTGCTCCAATTTTCAAAGAATTTTTTAACAAATTTTTCAAGCATAGTTTATTTTTAAAACACATTCAAGATTTTTTTATTTCAATTTATCTAAAAATAATTTTGATGACGGGATATGGATTTTAAATGAAAAGAGCTGATATATCTAGCATGGGTAGCTGATCAAATAAGCTTCATAGACCATAATTAACCAAATAAGTCTGTCAAAGACAGAGAACCTTATTAAATAGGCCCCACCAGTCAACAACTGACATGATGCATGGCTGACTACTGATATACTGACCCGACTTCAATGTTGTTCCCAAGATTATTTACATTCATGAAATGAATAGCTGGAAGCAGTATTTTCATTACTTTCAGATATCAACGACTATACCAAACTTCTTTATTATGGCTACCAGCATACTTCACATCCCTCTTCTCATACTTAACTATTTATTCATTCCAGTGTTATCTCAAAAAGTTACATCAAATTTTATTTTCAAATTAGTTTGGAAAAAAATCCTAATTCATGTACACTTTTTCATGAAGTGAAACTTATAGATAAACTTTTCCTTTGAGATAAATAATTTGATTAAATCTCACTCTGTATTGTTTTAGCTTTTGTTCTCAACTAGTCAAGGAGTCGAACAAAATTAAATGAAAGTACACGAGCAGATCGTAAACTTGTGTAGCTCAGATATTTACTGTAACAACCTCAGTAATTGTTTTACCAATATTAATCTCAAAAGAAATTGATATTATTTAATATTTCTAAAATAAATAAGAAAACTTACTGAATAAATACATCAATATTAAGTCAAATAAAATAATAATAAAAAGTTAAATATACAGTGTGAAATATAATGCAATATAAATTTATTACAGTGTTATAAAGGTAAATCAATAATCAAGAAATAATTATCAAATAGTGCTCTGTGGTTTCCTGACTCCTTTGTACAACACTGACTATACTGTTATTTCAATGGCGTTATGATGTAATTAAAATGCAAGAGCATGATCATAACAACGTAAAGGTAGGTCAGGATGTTTCAGACGAGCCCAAAACTTTTGTTTACTAATAAAACCAATAAAAATAACTGAATTGAAATTTTTATAAAGAGAATATAGCATATGATTGGTGTAGTAATTAGCAAAGAGAATAATCAATTAAACTAAAAAAATATATATATTCTAGTTAAATTAGCTTTTATAGTTGTTTAATTTCTAATTGAATATGTCAAGAACTTGTTTTAATTGGAACAATTACAAGCTACAGAGAAATGGAATTTTTATAGAATCATAAAATGAATTTCTTACTTCACCATTATGTTAATTCAAGTCAACAAAACAAGCAGATAGAAATAATTATGATTATTACACCTTTCAATTTATGTGAACAACATTGACTGGTTTGAATAAATTATATACTGCTTTGATAGTCAATTAATATAAATTGATTTTAATGATTAACTCTCCTCATTGAATTCCTCTAAACCCGAAATAATTGTTTAATTATAATTTCTAATGTCTACTTCATTTATGTCTAATCGAGGTTCCAATTAATTGAGAATTATTCTGTACTCTCATTATTATATTTAATGAGCGAAGTGATTTAGAACATGTCTAGATAAAATTATCCTAATAATCGTAATCGTGATGGGTACTTAATAGATTGTTATTAATTTTAGCTAATCAATAAATTTGTATCAATAAGAATGGAGTATTATTTTTCATTTCATCTACTTTATTGCAATCAATCATGGCATCTGCATATTATGGGCTTGTGACAGCTTTGATACATAATTAAAAAATAAAAAAAAATGATAAAATTCTTTCGATTATTAGCTATTGGAATTTTTTCAATAGAATTCCAAAGTTGGCTGATTTTAGTTCAATAAAAATTTTAAAAATATTCCAAATACTAATTACTTTTGATTAGATTCTAATTACAAATTCTAAAAAGTTCAATTCCTAGCTATGATTAACATGAATACTTAACATTTTAATATAAATTATTTGAAAGAGGAAAATACATACAGAATATATTGAATCAAACTTTACAGTTTAATGATGATTTGAATATTATTTGTATTACTTCAAGTTTTAATGATTAATAGAAATGATTTGTTTTTGTTTATGAAAATTTATGTTTCTTTGAAAAGCCAACAACTTTCCAAATTCAATAAACTTGGATGTGGAGAAGACAAATTGGAACTCGAGTACGCCCACCAGTCCCTACAATCTGTTAAAGCTTATAGTTTCATCGAAGTTTGATGAGGAAGTCGCTTAGATTTCCTCTCCCTTCTTTACCTTTCCTCTCTACTTCTATCCCATGTAGTTGATTTGATAATGAGATATTTTTCTCAAAGCAGCACAACTGAAACTTGTGATAAGAACAACTTGGAAATAATCATTTCTATTAAAAATAAAATCATTCTGACGTGACTTGAATATGTGTGTATTCTACATCACTTTTTAATGTCATTAAGCTGGTGGAAGTATAAACTTGCTTTTATGATAAGCATAAAAAAATTTACAATTTAACATAAATTACTTTAATCATCAGAAACTCCATCACATTTTTTCTTATTATTAATTCAGTACAATCTTAAA